AAAGTTGGGCAATAGGGGCAGTACAGGATTCCTTTTGGTGGAGCAGGCGTCCTATTGGGAAGACCCAGTTCTCTGAGTGCATGTTCTGAAAGTTGGGCAATAGGGGCAGTACAGGATTCCTTTTGGTGTACCGACCTCCCCACTGCACCAAGGATTCCCTGCCTGAGCTGCTCCAGGTCATGGCAGATGTTCTCCTGGAGACACCTAGTTTGGTTTTCCTAGGGGATTTTAACATCTACGCCGACATGACCTTACAAGTCCGCTTGGGACTTTGTGGAAAGCATGGCCTCCATGGGGCTGTCCCTGAATATGTTTGGCCCAACTCATAGCCGTGGACATACCTTAGACCTGGTGTTCACCTCTAGCGACGTGGGTGATCTGACACTAAGTAAAAGCGAAACTAAAGAAGTGCCATGGTCAGATCACTTCCTGGTGCAACTGGACTTCTCCGTGAACCTTCCCCTCTGCAGGGAGGTGGGACCGATTCAGATGGTCCGCCCCTTAATGGATCCAAATGGTTTCCAGAGAGAGGTAGGGGATGTTTTATCCCATGTTGATGGCCTTTCAGCTGATTCCTGGTGGCCCGCTGAAATGTGGAGTTAACGACGACTAGAGCGCCGGTGGCAGATAACCCATTCTGAAGCTGACCGGATACGGGTTAGAGCTCAATGTCGAGCCTACCAAGTGATGATAGCGACGGCGAAGACTTTTACTATGTCTGGGGTAGCAGAGTCTGTAGCCTGAAGCGTATGTAACCTGAAGCGTTTGTAACCCAAGGTACCACTGTAGTACCTTGTTTAATCCTGTGACATTTAGCTGAAGTAATAAGTTAAAGTCTACCTGACAGAGGCCTTCCAGAATCTGATTCAGAGCCAAATTTGGAGACATATGTCACACAGACAATTTCAGAATGGCTGGGAGAAAGCAAAGATTGGTTGGATGGGCTTTCAGAGAGCTGTTTCAGAATTAAATTGCATGAAAATTGAGAACGGAGGCAGCCAGGAGATGTTTTATTAACACTAGTAACAAAAAGAGTGAAGGACGCAATCCTTCAGAACAGTTTTTGAAAAAAATCATGTGGTTGCCGAACAGAAAGTAGATATCTTTAGAGAGATTCCACTGAAATTGAGACTTAGAAGAACCAAATATAGATATTTAACAATAGCACTCAGAAGAGCTGACATTAGATACAAATGGGAATTCCCAGAGGGCATTTGCTTTACATACATGAAAAGGAGATACAGGCTAACATCAGAATTTCAGAGAATCCTTTGACAAATACAGGAGAGACTTTGATTCCAACTGCTGAAAGGCACATACGGTATTCTGTTAGAATGGGAGACGAAAGAGTGTGTTTGTGTGTTTTTACAATCAAGCAATGTATACATTTTATGAAAATTACAATACATTATAACATCATATAACATAAGCAGGAGTTATAAAAAAAATTAATAAAATAGCGCACTGTCTTTCAGGTTGTGTCTTCCTGGAGTTCCACACCTCTGCTGGGTGGAGAGGAAATGGTCACTCCTCCTTCATCTCAGCTCCACAGCAGTTCTCTCAAAAAGACTTGGCACTCCAGAAGGCGGAACTCAGAGCCCTTTATAACATAAAAACAAGGAACTTATAGTGCTGTGGAAGTAGTAGTAATAGTAGTAGTATTAGTAGTATTTATTCAATTTATATACCAACCTTTATCAGAATATCCCAGGGCGGTGTACAACATTAAAAGCACAATACAGAACAACAATGATAAATACATACTAAAAAGCATCCTGTGAGACAGCCGAGTAATGCAGCACTCCTTCTAAAACTTGAGGGGAGACTCACTGCTCACCTGCTTTTACGGCCACTATGGGGCTGTGGTGATTCATCCAAGGGAGGCTCCTCTGTTGGCCCCCCGAAGATTCTGACATCGTCCACTCTTTCTCCTGTCACCCACAGCCATAGAATATGAAGAGAGTGGTCCTCCCAAACTCTGCCTACACTCCAACATGTTGCAGAGGGAAATTGGGACCTGCGACTTTTGGGGCCACGCTCCTGAATGAGTCCCGTAAATCACGCGAGAGCAAGGACCCCCCCAAAATGGGCGTCTTTTGGGGCCACAGTTTCACGGGAGCCAAAACAGGACACCCTGGGAGCCAATCAGAAGTCAGGGTGGCTTCTGGAATTGCAGGACGTCCCCCTCAAAGCAGGACAGTTGACAGGTATGTGAAGACCGCCAAAGATGCAGAGTCCACAACCCATAGTGCAGGCACCCCCAAACTCGGCCCTCCAGATGTTTTGGGACTACAACTGCCTTCATCCCTAGCTAACAGGACCAGTGGTCAGGAATGATGGGAATTGTAGTCGCAAAACATCTGGAGGGCCGAGTTTGCCTATGCCTGCCATAGTCGATATGGCTGCCTTCCCACTGGGTGAGATGCTTCTACCCATTTCATCTGCTTAGCCAATCCAGATATTCAGGGCCAACAGGTCCCACCCCTGCCTCCAGCAATCTCTTTTGTTACACTCAATGGGTGTTTGGTGGAGGGCAAGGGGAACCATGGGGCAGGGTCCAGGATGCTCAGATTCCTGCCACCAGACCTCCCCTCTGAGGTCCCCCCAGGGCACCTGCTCAGCTGAGAGGAGGGTGTCATAGCACAGGTAGCAAATCAGCTGCTGCTCCGCCCCTTGAGGGATTCCCCGCCTCACTTATTGGCCAAATATTCCAAAAGGGCACCACCCACCACTATATAAACCCTCTCACCCCCGGCAGCAGCAATGAGGTGGTACAGCGTTCAGGTGCTAAGAGTGTGTCCCTGCTTTGGGAGGGGGAACACAGCCCCCCAGCAAAGTTTGGAGGACGAGCCAAGAGGTATAGCCGGACATTGGAAGGCAAACTGTTGCAGGAATTTATGTATAGTTTTTTTTGGGGGGGGGGTTGCCCCTGCAGCAGATATCATGCACATGCAGCCCACTACCAAAATCAGCACCATCACTTTTGTGACGTTTGTGACTTGTCCCCACAAAACACTTCATCACAGTTTCTTCCTATCTGCTCAAAGGGCCTCTGCTGCACAATACCAAATGTACGAATTCACTGATAAAGGTATCTGTGTACTGGCTCACTGGGAAAACTTCAGAAATTCATATAGACATGTGAGCTCAGCTACTCAGCAGCCCCTCTGCCTGAGTGATAATCCCTGGCATCCTGATACCTGAGTGCTGGACAGGTTGCCATTCCCAAAATAACAAACCCAGACGAAGACAAAAGGGTGTGATTGACTTCGCTGGGAAACAGGGAAATGTAAATATCTATTTTGTTACACTCCATGTGTGTTTGGTGGAGGGCAAGGAGAACCATGGGGCAGGGTCCAGGATGCTCAGATTACTGCCACCAGACTTCCCCTTACCATGATGTATGAGTGATGTAGTTTGGGGGGTGTAACATGGGGATTAGCAGCTAATAAAAGTTTGGGTTCTCTTTTGTTTGGGGCTTCCATCTTGTTCCACCTGGTGTCAGGTGGGAGTCCTGCCACGACAGTCTTCAAGAGAGACCAAGCCAACTGGCAGCTGTTTTGCTCTGCTATTCCTGGCTGGTGTCCTTGGTTTTTGTCCAAGGGAACCCTCAGATTTCTCCATTAACAAAACGTACCCAAAGCCTTCAAAATGTGCACTTTCCTGCATTTTGCAGCTCAGCAATGTGTAGTCCCAGGAGAAGCAGGAACAGCGTGTCTTCCTGTTCCTCCCTCAGCTGAGACCTGCCTGGATGGAGACCTGAGAGCCTTCTTCCTTAGAGGTTTTTAAGCAGAGGTTGGATCCTTTGGCTGAGATTCCTGCCTTGCAGGGGGGTTGGAATAGATGACCCTTAGGGCTCCCTCCCATTCTAGGATGAGGTTCCTTGCTTCCTGCAACCCCCTTTTCCCTGCAACCTCTTCCTCCAGTTTCTGGCCAAGGGAGGGAGCAGATCACAGACCAACCAAGAGCATCCCCTCAAAATGAGCATCTCTGGGATTCTGCAATGCAGGAAAGAAAAGGCAGAGAGGACTGAGCAGGGTGGACTCGGCTTTGCAAGGGTTAAAGGGAACTGAGCTGCATTCCTAGAGAGGACAGGAAGTAAGGGGGGGCAGGTCCTCCAGAGGAAAATCCCTCCCTCCCCTTCCTGCAAACGGGGGCAGGGTTGCTTTCTGCTATTGCAAATCCTGCCTTGCTCTCTTCCACGGGGATCTGGTGAGTCTCTTCCTCCCTCCCCCCCCCCGGAGGGCGCAGTGGGGAGAAGGTGGGGGTCCCAGGGCTGCAGCAGGGGAGGGTGGCTCATGTGGGGGGGGGGCCCGGGAGCAGGGGGTCCTGCCAGGGAGGGACGGGGTTGCGCGAGGTTTGCAACTACAGTACTGTATGTCCTGCATTTCTATACAGACGCTGCTTACTCCTTTGGGAAGGGCAATCCTCTCCTGGGATCTGGTGAGTCTCCTCTCTCCCCCCCCCCCCGAGGGTGCAGTGGGGAGAAGGTGGGGGTCCCAGGGAGGCAGGGGAGGGTGGCTCATGGGGGGGGGGGAGCCCCAGGGAGCAGGGGGTCCTGCCAGGGAGGGGCGAGGTCTCAGGAACTGTCTCCTTCCTTTAGATCTTTGGGGGGGGGAGGGGAGGAGGTTCCCGCCCCCCTTCCAGAAAAAAAATTATTCAGAGCCCCCTGGGAAATCTAGCAGATAGAAATCTAACTTCTGTAAAGAAGCTTATCAGTAGGACTTCTGCTGTGTGTGACACGGGTCAGCGTCATTGCACAACAGAGGAAACATGTCATGACATGAATGGTTGCTCCCAAACCTCTTCGTTCGTTTCCCTCCTTTCTTTCTGCTTCTACCGCCCCTTATTGGCAGAGGAGGCCAGCCAAGCAGATCAAGCCAAGCTTTATGAGGAGCTGGGTATGTTTAGTTGGAGAGGAGGAGACAGAGAGGAGATAGGAGAGCCATGTCAGATTAGATAATTTATTACGGTCAGAGACCAGCTTATAAAACACACTTGGGAGTACAGTCACAGAAGTAAAACAGGCAATTTATGTACGACAACAAATTAAAAAACAATGTACACCAACAAACTATCCCAGGAGTTGACTCAGAGTCACCCATGAAACTGAGTTTGGGGATTTTCATGACGGTCTATTTTGAGTTGGGAGATGGTCTGCGCCTACAGATCTGTACACAGAATCTGGCGACCATCCAGGTCATCTTCTGATCTTTGCCTAACAGGAAAAGGTCTCATTTTTGCTTTTGCAGGAGGTCAGCGAGCCTCACCAGCAGGGGATCAATGGTCTTACTACGTGTCTCTTCGTAAAAGGGACGTCTAAAGAACAAGTGTTTTGGCTTCCTATCTCTCCCAATGGACAGGTGAAAAGTCTCTGAGCATACGGGACTTTTCTAGAAGCTCCGTCCAGGACCAGCGAGGGAAGAGCCGAGCTTCTGGCGAGTGTAAAGGCCCTTCTTGTATTTCTAGATGCGAGAAAGAAGAGATATTCTGCCGGTGCGGCTATATATTTCTGATTTCTCCAATTTTATGGTCGGAGCACCTTGCGCAGTCCTGTTCTCTCTCGGTATCTAATATTCTTTGCCTGACTGTGGCTTTTGCCTGGCACAAGCCCAGACTTAGAAGGGCTTGAGGGGCAAAACCCAGTTTCCGGAGGGTGTTCAGGACTGCAGTCTGCCAGCCCGACTGGAATTGGTCACAGAGGATCAATGGGGCTATCCCTCTGGGGATCAGATACAATGTCAGCCATTTGTAGATTGATGTTAGGCAGATGCTAGCCTCCACTCTCATCATCCCCGTTTCTAATCTAACCCATGCGTTTGAGACACATCTGGGCACTTGGAGGAGAGCTCTAAGAAGTCTAGATTGAACTCTCTCAAGGGGGGAGAAAGCCGAGGAACGCGGGCGCAAAAAGGAACCATAAAGGAGTTGTGCCAAAGTTTTGGCCTTGTATAGTTTTAGAGCTGCGGGAACAAAGAAGCCCCCTTGTGCTCTGAAAAATTTAAGAATACAATTTGCGGGTTTTTCCGCTGAACTCCCGATGGAGTTTATGTGTAGTTTGTTGGCTCCTGAGGCCTATACCACCATTCCTAGATACGTATAGTTTGTGACTTGTTCTAATTTATGGCCTTGGAGTTCCCAGCTTTTAAGCTTTGGTTTTCCCCAAAAGCGAGTATCTTGGTCTTTTGATAGTTGATTTTGAGACATTCAAATTCACAGTATGCTGCGAGCTTTCTTAGTGCTCTTTTGAGTCCAATGGGGGTTCTAGATAGAATTACTGCATCGTTGGCATATAGCAGGACCGAAATATGCCGATTTGTGAGCTTCGGAGGGTGGAGTTCGGAGTCATGGAGTGCAGATACTAAATTATTTAGATAGAAATTGAATAGTAGAGGGGCCAATAGGCACCCTTGCCTGACTCCTTTAGAGGTTTTAATAGGGTCCGTTAGGTGTCCTAGGCGGCTACACCTGACTCTAAGAGCCGTGTTTGCGTGCAGTGCCTGAATTAAGAGCAGAAGCTCTTAATTCTATGTAGGTACCCTGTAGTCTGTCCCAGAGTCTGGTTCTGGAGACTGTATCAAAGGCTGCTTTTAGATCAACAAAGGCAGTGTACAGTGAGGCCTGCCTTTAGGAGAGCCATGTCACCTGGGCGCAGGATTCCAACCAATGGCTTCAAGCTACAAGAAAGGAGATTCGGACTCAACACACCTAGTCACTTTTCACTAGGAACCAATGACTCCCTTGTCAATCAGTTCTGACTTCATGCATTGACTGGAAGGAAGGAGCAACCAGGCTGAGTCCCCTCGCATTAATCTCTTCGCTTGCCTCCACATTTCCACAATCTCCCTTCGAGAGGCCTACATCATCTCCTCCTCCTCTTCCTCCTCCTCCTCCTTTTTAGAAAGATAGCTCAGAGTCTGGGCTGTGGTGCAGTCCTACCCTGGTTCCCAGGAAGACTCATCCATGCTTGCTCAGGGAAACTTTTTCTTCTCCTGATATTGTACAACTTTTGTAACAGAACAATGTATGTGCTTTGTAGAATTCAGACAGACAGAACTTGGCAGAAGACCAAAGTGTTCCTTCCAATCTCTCCGAGGCTTCCTGAGAGCACAGATGGATGAGCGAGACACAGCTGGCCCTAGAGCAGGAAGAGGCCATGTCATCCAAACTGGGAGCAGTGGGGATTCTGGGAAAACTCTGTGCAGAAGATCCTGGGTGAGGAGGACACCCACTCCTCAGAGGTGCAGAGCCAGCAGTTGAGGCAGTTCTGCTTCCAGGAGGCCAAGGGACCCCGAGAGGTTTGCAGCCAACTCTACCACCTTGATCATCAGTGGCTGAAGCCAGAAAGGCACACGAAAGCTGAGATGCTGGACCTGGTGATCTTGGAGCAGTTCCTGGCTGTCCTTCCACTGGACATGGAGAGCTGGGTGAGGAACTGTGGAGCAGAGACCAGTTCCCAGGCGGTGGCCCTGGCCGAAGGTTTCCTCCTGAGTCAGGCAGAGGAGAGGAAGCAGGCAGAGAGAAAGCAGGTGAGAGAGACTTTCCTCTGGATACTCCCAAGGGGCTCCAAACAGGATGGAGAACATCCAAAAATGGTCTGCTGATGGCCCATCCTTTTTCTGGGAATGAGATCTAACAGCCTTAAAGATTCTGTCTCTGCCATTCTCTTTCTAACATTTCTCACCATTCATTTACAGTTTTGAATCCTTGTTGTTCTTTCAGAAAAGGGATCATTATGGAGAAATGGACCTGGATTCCTGTGAGGCAGAGAGGCCTCCGTTGGACACCAGAGAGAGGACACTGGGTAAGGAGGAAGGTGGCTTTTCTCCATTTGGTCTTGTTCTGTTGGTTTTCCAACTCGTCTGAGGGTTCTTTTCATCTTGGTTTTTTTTTTTTTTTTTGAGGGGTGGTGGTTGGGAACAAGGGTTCAGAGGAGGGGAGACGTATTTCTGCACACCTAACATGAAATGGGCACAAACCTTCAACTGCACTCAGCAGGTAAGGCTTTCTCAAAGCCCATCTGTAGTTAGAGATGTCCTGTTTCCCCTGTGAGAGAAGCAGGCACTCCTAGCATCCTGCTTACCTTTTTTTCCTTTGCAGGTGAAAGAATGAAGCCAGCAAGACCTCCTGATCCATCTTTTCATGGGGGCAGAAGGGAAGCAGTGGCTGTGGAACCAGATCAGGTATGGGGAAGCTGCCTTGTGGGGTCAGAGGCCGAGGGATGGAGCAATGTCATGGACTGGTTGGGCACAGAGGAATGGTGGGAGGAAGCAGCCAGGGAACCAGGAAGGGAATATTGCTCTGAGCCCAAAGAGTGAAGGTGGAGGAAGGATTGGCGGTCAGAGGGAGAAGCCTGGGAAGAGGAGGTGTCAGAAGCTGAAGGGGCAACAGGGCTTAGTGAGCTGGGAGACTCTGTGGCAGAATGCAGTGCAGAATCAGAGGCAGAAGAAGAAGGAGGCGAGTGGGAGAGGAAGATCGAGAGGCAGAGGTGAGTCAGGAGAAGGGGGAGCCACCGGGTGCTCCCTCTCCTTCTGCCAGAATCCACCCTCCCTGCTTGTCTCTCAGAGCCAAGAGAGGTCTAACATGGAGGAGTAAAGGCAGGCTGCACACTGGCGCACTGTTCAATCGCTTGCCAGAAACCCCAGAGAGGAGGGGACTTGGAAAGCTGTGGGGAGCCGGGGGCCTTCACTCTCAGCAACTGCTTTTGTGGAGGAAGAGGCTCAGGGAATGAGCTGCTGTTTTCATGAAGCCCGAAACTCAGCCAAGTATGTGAACATCGTGCTCTTGCTGATAAAGAGTAAACTCCAGCTGTGAACTGTGGGATTTCCTGCCCAGATAACTCTGTCATACCAGCCTTCTGAATGTTGCCAGTAGGATTCATCTGTAGTTGCAGTTTTCATGGAATCCTAGAGTTGAAAGGGACCCCAAGGGTCATCAAGTCCAACCCCTGCATTGCAGGAGTCTCAACTCGATAATCCAAGACAGATGGCCATCCAGTCTTGGCTTGTTTTATTTCTGTATTCATCAATGAATGCTAAAATAGGCTTCTTCTTCTTTAAAAAAATGATATTTATTAGGAGTTTAAAAAATTACAGAAAATAGAAAAAAGGAAAACAATAAAAAAAATTAACAGAACATACCTTACAATACATAAAAAGAAAAACATAGAAAAACAATACAGCAAAACAGCAAAAAGAAACAAAAACACTAAAACACACATCCAATGTTCCATATCTTTACCTTTCATTTACTTGTTTCATCGGCCTCCTCACACCTCCCTTTTTTGTATTCTAGTTCAATTACCTATTTCAGCACATTCTTTCCATCTTTCTCAATTTTTGTTCTATATTTTATCTTAACAGTCTAACCTTAAATTTTTTCATTTTGGCCCGTTATCAATCAGTTTTTACTTAATTCTTTATTACAATTCTGCTAAAACCAAATACCTTCATTCCAGCATCCTTCTAACATTCATTAATTTTGCTATATTTTTGTAAATATACTTTAAATTTTTTCCAATCTTCTTCCACCGACTCTTCTCCCTGGTCTCGGATTCTGCCAGTCATTTCCGCCAGTTCCATGTAGTCCATCAGCTTCATCTGCCTTTCTTCCCTGGTGGGAAGAGCTTTTTTTCATTTGCCAAGCCAACAGCTTTCCGCACTTATTTGCCGATTCAAATGTCTTTTGTCTCATCTGTTTAATCTTCCATTGTATTTCCTGATTCATCATTTTCATATATTGTACTTGATATAACTTTATCTCTTTCAAAATCTCCTGCGACCTTGGTTTCACCCTTAATTTCTCCTCTCCTTCCTTTATCTTTTCCAGGATTTTGTCTTTTTTCTCATTTTGCATTCTCTTCTTAATTGCATTCTGTTGTATCAAAAACCTCTCATGACCGCTTTGCTTGCATCCCAGATTACTCTTCTTTACACAGCTAAAATAGGCTTCTAAGCAGCGGACAGACGATAACAAATAATGTCCAGGATTCACCTAGCCAGCCCCATCCGCTGCAAAATGGGGCCTGCCCCCCACTCCTCCCCCTCTCCATGCCCCCATGAACCCCTTGAATTTGGCTCTGGGGCATTGTGAGGGAACCTCCCCAGAACAACTCACGAGGAGAGGAGGAAGTGGATCCTTCCATCGGGGAAACTGGAATGCTTGTGTAGGCAGAATAACGTAAACATAAGCTGGAGTACCACCCATTTGCAAAAAGACGAATACCCACACTTAAAATGCAGAATAAAAGATTCAATTAAAGCATTAAAATAGGTACACATAATAAAAATGTGCAGCAAAGCAATCCTATTGAAATAACACAGCAATTAACAGGAAGGAAATAACAGAGCATTGTGTAGCAGATCATATTTCTGCTGTCTCAGAGGAGGACATTTCCCTTTTTCTTTTAGGGTCCAGTGTGCTTTGAAGATGTCGCTGTTCGTTTCACGGACGAGGAGTGGGAGTTGCTGGATCCTGACCAGAGAGCTCTGCATAAGGACGTAATGGAGGAGAATTGGGGGATCGTGGCCTCTCTTGGTAAGCCTCCGTGTGGGATCGTCCTATCTGCCAGGAAATTCAAAAAATACCTCTATGTGACAAACCTCATATATTTTCTCAGCGCCCCCTACGACACCTGGGAACCTTACACCCCCACAAGAAATAGTAAATTACAGTTTTTTCTGTGAACAATCTTCCTCCAATTCTGCCTCCTTCTACCACAGTTAGGCTGATCTGAACTGCCCAGGCATCTTAAATGTCAGCTTCAGAGTTGTTCAGAAAGATAAGTAGCTTCTGTCAGGTTTTCTGTTTTTCTTTTTGCTGCTGTCAGTCTTGGGTTGACCAAAGAGACGACTGACACTGGAGATGGAGGGGATGCCATGACTGGGCCAAACAAAAGAGCCAGGCTGAATGAATCTCAGGTAGTACTAGCAGTGATAATAATAGTAATAATAATAATTTTTATGTATACCCTGACCATCTGGTGGGGTTGCCCCAGCAAATCTGGGAAGCTTCCAAAACATATACAGTCGTATTTCTGGTTGCGAATGGGATCCGTTCCGGAGATCCGGCCAGATCCCGAGGTTTTTGCAACCCAAGGATCACTGCGCATGGATTTGTCGCTTTCATAAGCTGATGTTTATATAATCCGAGGGTTACGTAACCCGAGGTGCTACTGTATAAACATGAAACAGTAATAATAACAACAATATAATCCAATGAAAAAAGTACAAAAATTTTACAAAAAGTACAAAATTTATAAAATGAGTAACTTACTTCAAACAAAGCAACATTCAACCAACGATTAGAATCCAATAATAAATACATTGGTTTATTACAAATAACAAAGCTAATGAACACTGCCTTCTCTACCACAAATTTAATGAGCATTATTCCCTAACTGGGGGCTCCATTTGTTCCTGAGACTCTAATCCCTTTTTCTCTCCATTGCAGATTGTGATGAATTTGAAATCAAGAACAAAGGTGACCACAACACAATCTGCAGAGTGGAGAAGGCACGTAAAAATTTGGAATGTGGAAAGAGCTGCAGTCAGAGCTCAAATTCCAGTTCCCATCAACGAAATCTCATTGGAAAGAAACCCTATCAGTGCATTGAATGTGGAAAGAGCTTCAGTACGAGCTCCTCTCTCATTTCCCATCAAAGAATTCATACAGGGGAGAAACCCTATCAGTGTGTGGAATGTGGAAAGAGCTTCAGTCAGAGCTCGTCTCTCACTTCCCATCAAAGAATTCATACAGGGAGAAACCCTATCAGTGTGTGGAATGTGGAAAGAGCTTCAGTATGAGCTCCCATCTCACTTCCCATCAAAGAATTCATACAGGGGAGAAACCCTATCAGTGTGTGGAATGTGGAAAGAGCTTCAGTCACAGCCAAAGTCTCACTTCCCATCACAGAATTCATACTGGGGAGAAACCGTATCAGTGTGTGGAATGTGGAAAGAGCTTCAGTAGCAGCTACAATCTCACTAAACATCAAAAATTCATACAGGGAGAAACCCTATCAGTGTATGGAATGTGGAAAGAGCTTCAGTATGAGCTACAATCTCACTTCCCATCAAATAATTCATACAGGGAGAAACCCTATCGGTGCATGGAATGTGGAAAGAGCTTCAGTAGAAGCGCCGATCTCACTTCCCATCAAAGAATTCATACAGGGAGAAACCCTATCAGTGTGTGGAATGTGGAAAGAGCTTCAGTATGAGCTCCGATCTCACTAAACATCAAAGAATTCATACAGGAGAGAAACCCTATCGGTGCATGGAATGTGGAAAGAGCTTCAGTATGAGCTCCCATCTCACTTCCCATCAAAGAATTCATACAGGGGAGAAACCCTATCAGTGCATGGAATGTGGAAAAAGCTTCAGTATGAGCTCCAGTCTCACTTCCCATCAGATAATTCATACTGGGGAGAAACCCTATCAGTGTGTGGAATGTGGAAAGAGCTTCAGTAGAAGCTCTGATCTCACTAAACATCAAAGAATTCATACAGGGAGAAACCCTATCAGTGTGTGGAATGTGGAAAGAGCTTCACTGATAGATCCCATCTCACTTCCCATCAAAGAATTCATACAGGGAGAAACCCTATCAGTGTGTGGAATGTGGAAAGAGCTTCAGTATGAGCTCCCATGTCACTTCCCATCAAAGAATTCATACAGGGGAGAAACCCTATCAGTGTGTGGAATGTGGAAAGAGCTTCAGTAGCAGTTCCTCTCTCACTAAGCATGGGAAAGAGCTTCAGTAGCAGCTCCGATCTCACTAAACATCAAAGAATTCATACAGGGGAGAAACCCTATCAGTGTGTGGAATGTGGAAAGAGCTTCAGTCAGAGCTACAATCTCACTTCCCATCAAAGAATTCATACAGGGGAGAAACCCTATCAGTGTGTGGAATGTGGAAAGAGCTTCAGTATGAGCTTCAATCTCACTTCACATCAAAGAATTCATACAGGGGAGAAACCCTATCAGTGTGGGGAATGTGGAAAGAGCTTCAATCAAAAGTCCAGTCTCACTTACCATCAAAGAATTCATACAGGGGAGAATCACGGAATTGTAGAATTTTGAGCTTGAAGTGATCCCTGGTGCAATCTATTTCACCCCTTGTGATGCTGGCATAGCAAGTAAAACATCCATGACATGACCATCCAACTTCATTTGAAAACCTCAAAGAATGGAAATTCCAGCACTCCCAAGGGAGTCCAATCCACTAATAGCTCTTGCTGTCAAAAAGTTCTTCCGCATGTTTAGTCAGTCTTTTTTAAAAAACAAAACTTGAAGGCATTGGTATGTGTCCAACCCTGTGGAGCAGGCGTCCTATTGGGAAGACCCAGTTCTCTGAGTGCATGTTCTGGAAGTTGGGCAATAGGGGCAGTACAGGATTCCTTTTGGTGTACCGACCTCTGCACTGCACCAAGGATTCCCTGCCTGAGCTGCTCCAGGTCGTGGCAGATGTTCTCCTGGAGACATTTAGTTTGGTTTTCCTAGGGGATTTTAACATCCACGCCGACATGACCTTACAAGGAGCCGCTTGGGACTTTGTGGAAAGCATGGCCTCCATGGCGCTGTCCCTGAATATGTTTGGCCCAACTCATAGCCATGGACATGCCTTAGACCTGGTGTTCACCTCTATGGATGTTGGTGATCTGACACTAAGTAAAAGCGAAACTAAAGAAGTGCCATGGTCAGATCACTTCCTGGTGCAACTGGACTTCTCCGTGAACCTTCCCCTCTTCAGGGAGGTGGGACCAATTCAGATGGTCCGCTCCTTAATGGATCAAAATGGTTTCCAGAGAGCAGTAGGGATGTTTTATCCCATGTTGATGGCCTTTCAGCTGATTCCTGGTGGCCCTGAAATGTGGAGTTAACCAGGGCTATTGACTGTTTGGCTCCGAAGCGCCCTTTCTGATTGCATGGATCCCGGACAGCCCCGTGGTTTTCTTCAGAGCTGAGGGTGATGAAACAATCGCTGAGACTGCTAGAGCGCCGGTGGCGGATAACCCATTCTGAAGCTGACCGGATACGGGTTAGAGCTCAATGTCGAGCCTACCAAGTGGTGATAGCGACGGCCAAAAAGACTTTCTTCACTGCCTCTATTACATCTGCAGGGGAAAAACAGCAGGAGACTCTTTCAGGTGGTTTACAATTTAGCAGTACCACCTGCTCCATTAGGGCCCAGTACAGGCCACATGATCTCCTGCAATGATTTTGCAAAGTTTTTTGCAGACAAAGTCACTCAGATTCGAGAAGACGTAGACTCCACCATGGGAGCAGGGCGGGAGAGTGCTAGAGTCCTGTCTAGTCAAGTTGTGTGGGTTGTGGACAGGCTGCTTGGAAGAATGAAACCAACCACTTGTCTCCTTGATCCTTGTCCATCCTGGCTTATAAAAGCTAGCCGAGAAGGGCTGGGCGATGGGCTTTGTGGGGTGGTGAATGCTTCCCTCCGTGAGGGAGCCTTCCCGGACCCATCTTTAGATGTGGCCACGATGGCCAACTATCGCCCAGTCTCATATCCTCCATTCTTGGGCAAGGTGATTGAGCGAGTGGTTGCTGAACAACTCCAGGCACGCCTGGAGGAAGCGGACAATTTGGATCCCTTCCAGACAGGATTCAGGCCTCAACATGGGACTTGAAACTACCTTGGTCGCACTGGTTGATCTCTGGCGGGCTAGGGACAAAGGTGAGAGCTGTTTCCTAGTTCTGCTGGATCTCTCAGCGGCGTTTGATACCATCGACCATAACATCCTTCTTTACCGTCTTGAGGGGCTGGAAGCTGGGGGCACTGTCATACAGTGGTTCCGCTCCTTCCCTCTGGGCTTTGTTCAGAAAGTGGTGGGGGATGAGTGTTCAGAACCCTGGGCTCACACTCGTGGGGTGCCTCAGGGATCCATCCTCTCCCCATATTTTCAACATCTACATGCAGCTGCTGGGAGAGATCATCAGGGGTTTGGACTTGGTGTTCATCAGTATGCGGATGATACCCAGCTCTACCTCTCTTTCAAATCAGAACCAGTGAAGGCGGTGAAGGTCTTGTGTGAGTGTCTGGAGGTGGTTGGAGGATGGATGGCAGCTAACAGATTGAGGTTGAATCCTGACAAGACAGAAGTACTGTTTTGGGGGACAGGAGGGGGCAGGTATGGAGGACTCCCTGGTCCTGAATGGGGTAACTGTGCCCCTGAAGGACCAGGTGCGCACCCTGGGAGTCATTTTGGACTCACAGCGGTCCATGGAGGCACAGGTCAAATCTGTGTCCAGGGCAGCTGTTTCCCAGCTCCATCTGGTACGCAGGCTGAGACCCTATCTGCCTGCGGACTGCCTCGCCAGATTGGTGCATGCTCTGCTCATCTCCCACTTGGACTGCTGCAATGCGCTCTACATGGGGCTACCTTTGAAGTTCTACCCAGACACTGAGGTCCAGCACCGATGGCCTTCTGGAGGTTACCTCACTGTGAGAAGCTAAGTTACAGGGAACCAGCCAGACGGCCTTCTCGGTAGTGGCGCCCTCCCTGTGGAACACCCTCCCACCAGATGTCAAAGAGAACAACTACCAGACTTTTAGAAGACATCTGAAGGCAGCCCTGTTTAAGGAAGCTTTTAATTTTTGATGTATTAGTATTTTAATATTTTATTTGAAGCCGCCCAGAGTGGCTGGGGAAGCCCAGCCAGATGGGCGAGGTATAAATAATAAATATTAATAATAATTATCATTTTATTTTCTTTCTCCTGTAGAAACCTATGTTATCCATCATTTGAGAACCACGATATTGTTCTCCCTTTGCTCTTCTTTCATTTTTATCACAGTCTTAGAACTCTAATACTTTGAAGGAGCGAGGTTTTAATTTCATGAAGTGAGGCAGCTCATGCTCTATTAACAGTCATAGCTGAGATAGGAAGACCATGTTGAGGGTCTGGAGAGAGTGTTCAGATGGGACTTAATCTGGAATAGAAGCTGTGGGAAGACTCTTCTTCTGGGGTCTCCTTCCATTTGGGGGGGAGAGATTTTCTAGGAAAAGGAGATTTCTGAGTCAGTAAAAAGGACTCAGATGATCCCCTGGGTCTGGCATACAAAGGGAGGGGAGAGATTTTCTAGGAAAGGAGATTTCTGTGTCAGTAAATAGGACTCAGAGGATCCCCTCGGTCTGGCATACAAAGGAAAATACCTCGGGAGAGGGACTGCTAAGAGAGAGGGGAACCGAGGATAAGTGGCCCCTCGCTCACTATTTCTGTGGTAGCGGAGTCTGTAGCCTGAAGCGTATGTAACCTGAAGCGTTTGTAACGCAAGGTACCACTGTAGTACCTTGTTTAATCCTGTGACATTTAGCTGAAGTAATAAGTTAACGTCTACCTGACAGAGGCCTTCCAGAATCTGATTCAGAGCCAAATTTGGAGACATATGTCACACAGACAATTTCAGAATGGCTGGGAGAAAGCAAAGATTGGTTGGATGGGCTTTCAGAGAGCTGTTTCAGAATTAAATTGCGTGAAAATTGAGAACGGAGGCAGCCAGGAGATGTTTGATTAACAGTAGTAACAAAAAGAGTGAAGGATGCAATCCTTCAGAACAGTTTTTGAAAAAAATCTTGTGGTTTCCGGACAGAAAGTAGATATCTTTAGAGAGATTCCACTGAAATTGAGACTTAGAAGAACCAAATATAGATATTTAACAATAGCACTCAGAAGAGCTGACATCAGATATAAATGGGAATTCCCAGAGGGCATTTCCTTTACATACACGAAAAGGAGATACAGGCTAATATCAGAATTTCAGAGAGTCCTTTGACAAATACAGGAGAGACTTAGATTCCAACTGCTGAAAGGCACATACGGTATTCTGTTAGAATGGGAGACGAAAGACGAAGAGGTGAAATCAGTTATGATTAAATGGGCACAAGATATGGGTCATAATATTATTGTGGAAGATTGGGAAAGGTTATGGAAAACCGATTTAAAATTCACAGAGTGTTCCTTGCTGAAAGAAAATTATATGAAGATGATGTATAGATGCTATATGACACCAGTGCAGTTAGGAAGAATTAACAAAACCAGCTCAAATATGTTTTGGAAGTGTAACGAAAGAGACAGGACTTTTACTATATGTGGTGGGATTGTAATGAAATCAAAAAGTTTGGGGAAATGATATATAGTGAGTTGAAGAAAATGTTCCAATTAAAATTTGTTTAAAAACCTAAGGCATTTTTGTTAGGGATTGATGGAAAAATTGATGGATTACGCAGAATTGGCAAAATTGAGACACAAACTACGTGACAAGGATAACTGTGATTTTAAAGATGAATGGGAACCCTTTACAAAGTACATAAAGAAGCAACAAAATGAACTGGACTCCTTGGCAGGTTTTGAATAAACTTTTACAAACTTTTTATTGATAACATTTAGATAGAAAATTAAAAATCTGTACAGTATTGTAACATGCAGAAAATAACATATGTTGATAATCCAGAGAGGGGAGCTGAGGGAAGGCTGAGGGGGAGGGGAGGGTGGGTCAGGTTTTTTGGAGGGGGAAAAATAAGGGGGGGAATTTAAGGATGATATGTTATTTGATAAAATGTTATGTTGAAATTACTAATAAAAATATTTTTAATAAACATTTTGAAAGTGTTTGTGTGTGTTTTTACAATCAAGCAGTCTATACATTTAATGAAAATTACAATACATTATAACATCATATAACATAAGCAGGAGTTATAAAAATTAATTAAATTGCGCACTGTCTTTCAGGTTGTGTCTTCCTGGAGTTCCACAGCTCTGCTGGGTGGAGAGGAAACGGTCTCTCCTCCTTCATCTCAGCTCCACAGCAGTTCTCTCAAAAGACTTGGCACTCCAGAATGCGGAACTTATAGCCCTTTATAACATGAAAACACAATCAAACAAGGAACTTATAGTGCTGCGGAAGTAGTAGTAGTAGTAGTAGTAGTAGTAGTAGTATTTATTTAGTAGTAGTAGTATCTGAGGTCCCCCCAGGGCACCTGCTCAGCTGAGAGGAAGGTGTCATAGCACAGGTAGCAAATCAGCTGCTGCTCCGCCCCTTGAGGGATTCCCCGCCTCACTTAATTGGCCAAATATTCCAAAAGGGCATCACCCGCTACTATATAAACCCTCTCACCCCCGGCAGCAGCAATGAGGTGGTACAGCGTTCAGGTGATAAGAGTGTGTCCCTGCTTTGGGAGGGGGAACACAGCCCCCCAGCAAAGTTTGGAGGATGAGCCAAGAGGTATAGCCGGACATTGGAAGGCAAACTGTTGCAGGAATTTATGTATAGGTTGGGGGGGGGGGTTGCCCCTGCAGCAGATATCATGCACATGCAGCCCACTACCAAAATCAGCACCATCACTTTTGTGACTTTTTTGATTGGTCCCAACAAAACACTTCATCACAGTTTCTTCCTATATTCTGCACTATACCAAATGTAAGAATTCACTGATAAAGGTATCTGTGTACTGGCTCACTGGGAAAACTTCAGAAATTCATATAGACATGTGAGCTCAGCTACTCAGCAGCCCCTCTGCTTCAGTGGTGATTTCTGGCATCCTGATACCTGAGTGCCGGACAGGTAGCAATTCCAGAAATAACAAACCCAGAGGGGATTAGCAGCTGATAAAAGTTTGGGGGCTCTGTTGTTCGGGGCTTCCATCTTGTTCCACCTGGTGTCAGGTGGGAGTCCTGCCACGACAGTCTTCAAGAGAGACCAAGCCAACTGGCGGCTGTTTTGCTCTGGTATTCCTGGCTGGTGTCCTTGTTTTTTGTCCAAGGGAACCCTCAGATTTCTCTATTAACAAAACGTACCCAAAGCTTTCAAAATGTGCACTTTCCCGCATTTTGCAGCTGAGCAATGTGTAGTCCCAGGAGAGGCAGGCACAGCGTGTCTTCCTGTTCCTCCCTCAGCTGAGACCTGCCTGGATGGAGACCTGAGAGCCACCTCTCAATATCTGGAGGGCTGACCCATGGAAGAGGGAGCCAGCTTGTTTTCTCCTGCTCTAGAGGGGAGCACCCAGAATAAGGGACCCAGAGGACCAGAAAGCAGTTTCTGCTGCCTAAACAGCAGGAAGAACATTCTGACGGGAAGAGCAGCAGAATCCCTTGGGAGATGGCGGACTCTCCTTCCTTGGAGGTTTTTAAGCAGAGGTTGGATGGTTTGGCTGAGATTCCTGCCTTGCAAGGGGTTGGAATAGATGACCCTTAGGGCTCCCTCCCATTCTAGGATGAGGTTCCTTGCTTCCTGCAAACCCCTTTTCCCTGCAACCTCTTCCTCCAGTTTCTGGCCAAGGGAGGGAGCGGATCACAGACCAACCAAGAGCGTCCCCTCAAAATGAGCATCTCTGGGATTCTGCAATGCAGGAGAGAAAAGGCAGAGAGGACTGAGCAGGGTGGACTCGGCTTTGCAAGGGTTAAAGGGAACTGAGCTGCATTCCTAGAGAGGACAGGAAGTAAGGGGGGGCCAGGTCCTCCAGAGGAAAAAATCCTCCCTCCCCTTCCTGCAAACGGGGGCAGGGTTGCTTTCTGCTATTGCAAATCCTGCCTTGCTCTCTTCCACGGGGATCTGGTGAGTCTCTTCTTCCTCCTCCCCCCCCCCGAGGGTGCAGTGGGGAGAAGGTGGGGGTCCCAGGGAGGCAAGTGAGGGTGGCTCATGGGGGGGGGGGAGCCCCAGGGAGCAGGGGGTCCTGCCCGGGCGGGGCGAGGTGGCAGGATTTGTCTCCTTCCGTTAGATCTGTGGGGGGGGAGGGGAGGAGATTCCCGCCCCCCTTCCAGAAAAAAATTATTCAGAGCCCCCTGGGAAATCTAGCAGATAGAAATCTAGCTTCTGTAAGGAAGCTTATCAGTACGACTTCTGCTGTGTGTGACACGGGTCAGCGTCATTGCACAACAGAGGAAACATGCATGAATGGTTGCTCCCAAACCTCTTCGTTCGTTTCCCTCCTTTCTTTCTGCTTCTACCGCCCCCTTATTGGCAGAGGAGGCCAGCCAAGCAGATCAAGCCAAGCTTTATGAGGAGCTGGGTATGTTTAGTTGGAGAGGAGGAGACAGAGAGGAGATAGGAGAGCCATCTCACCTGGGGGGAGGATTCCAACCAATGGCTTCAAGCTACAAGAAATGAGATTCGGACTCAACACACCTAGTCATTTTTCACGAGGCACCAATGACTCGCTTGTCAATCAGTTCTGACTTCATGCATTGACTGGAAGGAAGGAGCAACCAGGCTGAGTCCCCTCACATTAATCTCTTCGCTTCCCTCCACATTCCCCTTTCTAGAGGCCTACATCTCCATCTCCTCCTCCTCCTTCTCCTCCTCCTCCTCCTCCTCCTCCTCCTCCTTTTTAGAAAGATAGCTCAGAGTCTGGGCTGTGGTGCAGTCCTACCCTGGTTCCCAGGAAGACTCATCCATGCTTGCTCAGGGAACCTTTTTCTTCTCCTGATATTGTACAGCTTTTGTAACAGAACAATGTATTTGCTTTGTAGGATTTTCTAGAGCTTCTCATTCAGACAGACAGAACTTGGCAGAAGACCAAAGGGTTCCTTCCGATCTCTCAGAGGCTTCCTGAGAGCACAGATGGATGAGCAAGACTCAGCTGGCCCTGGAACAGAAAGAGGCCATGCAATCCAAACTGGGAGCAGTGGGGGATTCTGGGAAAACTCTGTGCAGAAGATCCTGGGAGAGGAGGACACCCTCCGCTCAGAGGTGCAGAGCCAGCAGTTGAGGCAGTTCTGCTGCCAGGAGGCCAAGGGACCCCGAGAGGTTTGCAGCCGACTCTACCACCTTTGCCATCTGTGGCTGAAGCCAGAAAGGCACAAGAAAGCTGAGGTGCTGGACCTGGTGATCTTGGAGCAGTTCCTGGCTGTCCTTCCACCGGAGATGGAGAGCTGGGTGAGGGAGTGTGGAGCAGAGACCAGTTCGCAGGCGGTGGCCCTGGCCGAAGGTTTCCTCCTGAGTCAGGCAGAGGAGAGAAAGCAGGTGAGAGAGACTTTCCTCTGGATACTCCCAAGGGGCTCCAAACAGGATGGAGAACATCCAAAAATGGTCTGCTGATGGCCCATCCTTTTTCTGGGAATGAGATCTAACACCCTTAAAGATTCTGTCTCTGTCATTCTCTTTCTAACATTTCTCACCATTCATTTACAGTTTTGAATCCTTGTTGTTCTTTCAGAAAAGGGATCGTTTTGCAGAAATGGACCTGGATTCCTGTGAGGCAGAGAGGCCTCCGTTGGACACCAGAGAGAGGACACTGGGTAAGGAGGAAGGTGGCTTTTCTCCATTTGGTCTTGTTCTGTTGGTTTTCCAACTCGTCTGAGGGTTCTTTTCATCTTGGTTTTTTTTTTTTGAGGGGTGGGGGTTGGGAACAAGGGTTCAGAGGAGGGGAGACGTATTTCTGCACACCTAACATGAAATGGGCACAAACCTTCAACTGCACTCAGCAGGTAAGGCTTTCTCAAAGCCCCATCTGTAGTTAGAGAGGTCCTGTTTCCCCTGTGAGAGAAGCAGGCTCTCCTGGCGTCCTGCTTACATTTTTTTCTTTTGCAGGTGAAAGAATGAAGCCAGCAAGACCTCCTGATCCATCTTTTCATGGGGGCAGAAGGGAAGCAGTGGCTGTGGAACCAGATCAGGTATGGGGAAGCTGCCTTGTGGGGTCAGAGGCCGAGGGATGGAGTATTGTCATGGACTGGTTGCGCACAGAGGAATGGTGGGAGGAAGCAGCCGGGGAACCAGGAAGGGAAAACGGTTCAGAGCCCAGGGAGTGGAGGTGGAGGAAGGATGAGGGAGAAGCCTGGGAAGAGGAGGTTACAGAAACTGAAGGGGTAACAGGGCTTAGTGAGCTGGGAGACTCTGGGGCAGAATGCAGTCCAGAATCAGAGGCAGAAGAGGGGGGAGGCGAGTGGAGAAGGGAGATCAAGAGGCAGAGGTGAGTCAGGAGAAGGAGGAGCCACCGGGGGCTCCCTCTCCTTCCGCCAGAAGCCACCCTCCCTGCTTGTCTCTCAGAGCCAGGAGACGTCTGACAATGGAGGAGCAAAGGCAGGCTGCACACTGGCGCACTGTTCAGTCGCTTGCCAGAAACCCCAGAGAGGAGGGGACTTGGAAAGCTGTGGGGAGCCAGGGGCCTTGACATACCCTCAGGGAATGAGCTGCTGTTCTCATGAGGCCTGAAACTCAGCCAAGTCTGTGAACATCGTGCTCTTGCTGATAAAGAGTAAACTCCAGCTGTGAAGTGTGGGATTTCCTGCCCATATAACTCTATGACTCCAGCCTTCTGAATGTTTCCAGTAGGATTCATCTGTGGTTGCAGTTTTCATAGAATCCTAGAGTTGAAAGGGACCCCAAGGGTCATCAAGTCCAACCCCCTGCATTGCAGGAGTCTCAGCTAGATCATCCAAGACAGATGCCATCCAGACTAGGCTTCTTTTATTTCTATATTCATCACTGAGTGCTAAAATAGGCTTCTAAGCAGCGGACAGACGATAACAAATAGTGTCCAGGATTCACCTAGCCAGCCCCATCCGCTGCAAAATGGGGCCTGCCCCCCCATTCCTCCCCCTCTCCATGCCCCCATGAACCCCTTGAATTTGGCTCTAGGGCATTGGGAGGGAACCTCCCCAGAACAACTCACGAGGAGAGGAGAAAGTGGATCCTTCCATCGGGGAAACTGGAATGCTTGCGTAGGCAGAATAACGTAAACATAAGCTGGAGTACTTAGTTAAAATGCAGAATAAAAGAATTCATTTAAAGTGTTAAAATAGGTACCCATAATTAAAATGTGCAGCAAAGCAATCCTATTGAAATAACACAGCAATTAACAGGAAGGAAATAACAGAGCATTGTGTAGCAGATCATATTTCTGCTGTCTCAGAGGAGGACATTTCCCTTTTTCTTTTAGGGTCCAGTGTGCTTTGAAGATGTCGCTGTTCGTTTCACGGACAAGGAGTGGGAGTTGCTGGATCCTGACCAGAGAACTCTGCATAAGGACGTCATGGAGGAGAATTGGGGGATCGTGGCCTCTCTTGGTAAGCCTCCGTGTGGGATCGTCCTATCTGCCAGGAAATTCAAAAAATACCTCTATGTGACAAACCTCATATATTTTCACAGCGCCCCCTACGACACCTGGGAACCTAACACCCCCACAAGAAAAAGTAAATTACAGTTTTTTCTGTGAGTCTTCCTCCAGTTCTGCCTCCTTCTACCACAGTTGGGCTGATCTGAACTGCCCAGGCATCTTAAATGTCAGCTTCAGAGTTGTTAGGAAAGATAAGTAGCTTCTGTCAGGATTTCTGCTTTTCTTTTTGCTCCTGTCAGTCTTGGGTTGACCAAAGAGACGACTGACACTGGAGATGGAGGGGATGCCATGACTGGGCCGAACAACATCTGCCCCAGAGAAGAGCCAGGCTGATTGAATCTCAGGTAGTAGTAGCAGTGATAATAATAGCAATGGCTGATTAGAGCGTGTCCAGACGAGGTGCGGGCTCCCCTGGGGGATATCATCAATTTGTCCCTTGGCACCGGGATATTCCCAGGGGAACTGAAGGAGGCAGTGGTGCACCCGCTCTTAAAGAAAACATCATTAGATCCTTTAGATCTATCCAATTACCGCCCGGTTTCGAATCTTCCATTCCTGGGTAAGGTGATTGAGAGAGCGGTTGCTGAACAGCTTGGCAGGTTTCTGGATGAAACATCGGCTCTGGATCCATTCCAGTCCGGCTTCCACGCTGGTCATGGGACCGAGACGGCTCTGGTCGCCCTAACAGATGATCTCCGCAGGCAGCTGGATTGAGGCGGGTCGGGGCTGCTGATTCTTCTAGACCTGTCAGCAGCCTTCGACATGGTCGATCACGAACTCCTGGACCGCCGCCTTGCCGATGTGGGGATTCAGTCCTTCAATGGCTGCACTCTTTTCTCTCTGGTTGGGGACAGAGGGTGGCGCTTGGGGGGGAATTGGTGTGTGGAGTGCCTCAGGGTGCGATACTCTCCCCGATGCTTTTTAACATCTTTATGCGCCCCCTCGCCCAGCTTGTCCGGAGTTTTGGGCTGGGTTGCCATCAGTATGCCGATGACACCCAACTCTATCTGTTGATGGATGGCCATCCTGACTCGGCCCCAGACACACTGACCAGATGTCTGGAAGCTGTGGCTGGATGGTTATGTGGGAGCCAGTTGAAGTTAAATCCTTCAAAGACAGAGGTCCTCTGGCTGGGACGGGACGATATGGGATTGAGGGGGCAACTCCCATCTCTAGCGGGGGCGCAATTAGTGCCAGCACCGTCCGTTAAGAGTTTGGGTGTAATCTTCGATACCTCCCTCTCTATGGAGGTGCAGATTACAGCTATAACAAAGGCGGCATTTTTTTCATCTCCGCCAAGCTAAGCAGTTGGCCCCTTATCTCTCTCGCCCTGACCTAGCCACTGTGATCCATGCGACGGTCACCTCCAGACTGGATTACTATAACTCGCTCTACGTGGGGCTGCCCTTGAGACTGACCCAGAAACTCCAGCGGGTGCAGAATGCCGCGGCGAGACTCCTTATGGGGTCTTTGCTGCGAGATCACATTCATCCGGTACTATACCAGCTGCACTGGCTCCCGGTGGAGTACAGGATCAGGTTTAAGGTGCTGGTTTTAACCTTTAAAGCCCCATACGGCCTAGGGAGACTTCCGGGTTGGTGCCTCCAGTAATGGCGGAATTCCTCTGATCGGGAGTAATTTGCCCCGTGGGAATTTGGGTCTGGCCGCCACAGCGAAGGCGGAGATCCGCAAAAAATCACAGGCGGGAGAAGCCTGTGAGCGTGGGATTCGGCGGGCACCTTTTGCGCCTCCCCTACTCGCGGGGAAACCCGGTTTCGTGGATCCGGAGTGAAGTGGGGTGAGCGGCGCGGTGCTTCGAATCGTCTGCTTCTTCCACGGAGTGAAGCTGCATAGCTGTTGCCGGAGAGCACTGACTTTTTCCTGTGGACAATTTGACTCCAAAGTAATTACCCGTGAGTAGAGCTGAAGCGGGAGAATTGGATTTTAAACGTTTAATTTGGCATCGAAACGGGGAGGTTCAATACAGGAAGTCCGCCTTCCCTATTTGTAAATAGACTGAGGCAAGGAGGCTGCAAGCTGAAGTCTTGGAAAGCCTTCTGTAAAAGACTAAATTTCCATCGGTAAAGCGCATAAAACCCCCCTTGGAGGCAGGAGAAGAGGGGGGGAAGTTGCGGACTGAGTATGCCTTCAGGAGAGAGTGAAGAGAGTTAAAATACTGCCGCTCTGACCCTGGAAACGGGCTGCTAGCAGGACTGACGTTTTGGAATGTTCATTGACAGCACTTCGAACGTTCCTTGACAGCTAGCAAAATAAGAGAAATACATTGTTTCTACTGTCTCCGGATGCTTCTAAAAAGGAGTAAAAAGTAACTGAAAACTGAAACTAACTTTGGATTGTATGAGTTGCGTTTAAAGGGGACATTATTGACTATTATAAATAGAAACTGTTTCTCCCTAGCGGAAATCTCTGAAATTGGTTGCTTTATAAGAGCTGGGCTAGAGGAATTTCCAGCTGCAAGATAAAAAATTGTGAGACTCTGGGATTGACCTTGAATCTCTTAAGTGTTATGGCAAATGGAAAGGAAAAAACAGACGAAATGTCGACAGAAGAGGCCTTAGTGGTCGCATTAGTGAAAATAAACGATTCGCTGGAACAGCTTCACAAGAAAACAGACGTGATAAATGTGAAAGTGGATGCTGCAAATATTAAAATCAACTTAATTGTAGAAAGTTTAAATAATCTGGGACAAAAGGTGAACACCAATACAGAAACCATCCAGAAATTGATACAGGAATCTACTTTGATAGGGCAAACTGCGGATGAAGTCAGGGAGAAAACCCTTGTTGCTGAATGTAAAGCCATACAACTTGAGAGAGAGAGAGTCCCATCCATTCAAAGGCAACTCGATGAACATAAGCTGACATTTGTTATGATGGAACTTAAAGAAAAACAGACGAATTTGAGGACCAGAGCCCTATCTGAATTGGGAAAGGAAAGCTTGACAGAGTTTCAGGAGGAGACAGGACTAACATCGGTTGAGAAAGAGAAGTATTTGGGGGTCAGTATGACCGCCAAAAATGTGAATCTAAGGATAACTGTGAAGGATGTTGGATTGAAGAGAAGGGGGATTGGGAAATATGGACAAATCTGAAGTTGCTATTGTTGGGCCGAGCTGTTGTGGTGGGGATGAGGGTTGCTGTGTTGCCGGGGATGTTGCTTTTGTTTCAAACAGTGCAAGTTTTGGATGGGATGGATTGTTTCAGGAGGTGGCAGAGGGATGTTTCTAGATTTGTTTGGCAGGGCAGGAAGCCTCGAGTAAAATTTAAGATATTGACGGATGCGAAAGAAGGAGGTGGACCTGCCCTGCCAGACCCCTAAACTTTGTTGTGAACCATCTGCTTTTTGCTGGCTGAGAGAATGGCTGCTTCTTGAAAGCACTGAAGTGTTGGATAATGGCAGATGAAGTTGATGGACTATATGGAATTGGCGGAAAAGACTGGCAAGATCCGAGACCAGGGAGAAGAGTTGGTGGAAGAAGACTGGGAAAAGTTTAAAGACTATTTATAGAAATATTGTAAAATTAATGAATGTTAGAAGAATGTTGGAATGAAGTTATATGGCTTTAGTAGAAATGTTATAAGGAATTAAGTATAGATTAATAGAGTATTAAAGGAAAAATAAGGTTAAAATGTGTTAAGATAATTATAGGATAGAAAACGGGAAGATGGAAAGGAATTGCTGAAATAATTAATAGAAGTGGAATACAAAAAGGGAGGTGTGAGGAGGCTGTGGAAATATGTGAAAGAAAGATAAGATATTGATTTTTTTTTCTTTTTTATGTGTTTTTAAATTGTTTTTGTTTTGTCTTGTTAGTTTAATGTTTTAGTGTTATGTAGTGTTTTTGTATTGTAATGTACTGGTTTTTTTTTTTTTGTAAGTGTCTAAATTGTTGTAAAAGTAATAAATATTATTTTAAAAAATAAATAAATAAAGCCCTATACGGCCTAGGACCCTCGTACCTACGGGACCGCCTCTCCTGGTATGCCCCACAGAGGAACCTACGGTCTGCAAATAAAAACATCCTGAAGGCCCCAGGCCACAGAGAGGTTAGGCTGGCCTCAACTAGAGCCAGGGCTTTCTCGGCTGCGGCTCCAATCTGGTGGAACGCTCTGTCACAAGAGACTAGGGCCCTGCGGGACCTGACATCTTTCCGCAGGGCCTGCAAGACAGAGTTGTTCCACCAGGCTTTGGGTCAGGGCGCAGCCTGACTCCCTCCTCTGGCAACCTGCACAGAATTTTGCTTAACGGTTGCCATCAATTTGATTTTAATTAATTTTTAAAATGAAATGTTTTTAGAATGTTGGATTATTTGATTGTTTGATTATTTGATTGTTGTTAGCCGCCCTGAGCCTGGCTTCGGCTGGGGAGGGCGGGATATAAATAAAATTTATTATTATTATTATTATTATTATTATTAATTTTTATTTATACCCTGACCATCTGGTTGGGTTGCCCCAGCCAATCTGGGAAGCTACCAACACATATACAGCCGTACTTCTGGTTGCGAATGGGATCCATTCCGGAGGTCCGGCCAGATAACGAGGTTTTCACAACCCGAGGATCACTGTTCTGCACATGCGCATGAATTTGTCACTTTCATAAGCTGAAGTTTATATAACCTGAGGGTTATGTAACCCGAGCTGCTACTGTAAAAACATGAAACAGTAATAATAACAAACAATCTAATCCAATGCAAAAAGTACAAATTTTTTTACAAAAGTACAAAATTTTTAAAATGAGTAACTTACTTCAAACAAAGCAACATTCAACCAACGATTAGAATCCAGTAATAAATACATTGGTTTATTACAAATAACAAAGGTAATGATCACTGCCTTCTCTACAACAAATTTAATGAGTATTATTCCCTAACTGGGGGCTCCATTTGTTCCTGAGGCTCTAATCCCTTTTTCTCTCCATTGCAGATTGTGATGAATTGGAAATCAAGAACAAAGGTGACCACAACACAATCTGCAGAGTGGAGAAGGCACGTAAAAATTTGGAATGTGGAAAGAGCTGGAGTCAGAGCTCCCATTCCAGTTCCCATCAACGAAATCTCATTGGAAAGAAACCCTATCAGTGCATGGAATGTGGAAAGATATTCAGTCAGAGCTCCTCTCTCCCTTTCCATCAAAGAATTCATACAGGGGAGAAACCCTATCAGTGTATGGAATGTGGAAAGAGCTTCAGTAGAAGCTCCGACCTCACTAAACATCAAAGAATTCATACAGGGGAGAAACCCTATCAGTGTGGGGAATGTGGAAAGAGCTTCAGTCACAGCCACAATCTCACTTCCCATCAAAGAATTCATACAGGGGAGAAACCCTATCAGTGTGTGGAATGTGGAAAGAGCTTCAGTAGAAGCTTCGATCTCACTAAACATCAAAGAATTCATACAGGGGAGAAACCCTATCAGTGTGGGGAATGTGGCAAAAGCTTCAGGCAGAGCTCCAATCTCACTTCCCATCAAAGAATTCATACATGGGAGAAACCCTATCAGTGTGTGGAATGGGTAAAGAGCTTCAGTATGAGCTCCAGTCTCACTTCCCATCAAAGAATTCATACAGGGGAGAAACCCTATCAGTGTGTGGAATGGGGAAAGAGCTTTAGTAGCAGCTTAGATTGCACTTCCCATCAAAGAATTCACACAGGGGAGAAACCCTATCAGTGCATGGAATGTGGAAAGAGCTTCAGTAGAAGCTCCGATCTCACTAAACATCAAAGAATTCATACAGGGGAGAAACCATATAAATGCTTTGAATGTGGAAAGAGCTTTAGTAAGAGCTGCACTCTCACTTCCCATCAAAGAATTCATACAGGGGAGAAACCCTATCAGTGTGTGGAATGTGGAAAGAGTTTCAGTCGGAACTCCTCTCTCACTTCCCATCAAAGAATTCATACAGGGGAGAAACCCTATCAGTGCGTGGAATGTGGAAAGAGTTTCCGCCAGAGAGGCCATCTGAATACCCATCAAAGAATTCATACAAGGGAGAATCACGGAATTGTAGAACTTTCAAGCTTGAAGTGATCCCTGGTGCAATCTATTCCACCCATGTGATGCAGGAATAGCAAGTAAAGCATCCGTGAAAGATGACCATCTAACTTCATTTGAAAACCTCAAAGAATGGAAATTCCAGCACTCCCAAGGGAGTACTATCCACTAACAGCTCTTGCTGTCAAAAGGTTCTTCTGCATGTTTAGTCAGTCTTTTTTTATAAAAAAAAAACACTTGAAGGCATTGGTTTGTGTCCTACCCTGTGGAGCAGGCGTCCTATTGAGAAGACCCAGTTCTCTGAGTGCATGTTCTGGAAGTTGGGCAATAGGGGCAGTACAGGATTCCTTTTGGTGTACCGACCTCCCCACTGCACCAAGGATTCCCTGCCCGAGCTGCTCCAGGTCGTGGCGGATGTTCTCCTGGAGACACCTAGTCTAGTTGTCCTAGGGGATTTTAACATCCACACCGACACGACCTTACAAGGAGCCGCTTGGGACTTTGTGGAAAGCATGGCCTCCATGGGGCTGTCCCTGAATATGTTTGGCCCAACTGATAATCAGGGACATGCCTTAGACCTGGTGTTCACCTCTATGGATATTGGTGATCTGACACTAAGTAAAAGCGAAACTAAAGAATTGCCATGGTCAGATCACTTCCTGGTGCAACTGGACTTCTCCGTGAACCTTCCCCTCTGCAGGGAGGTGGGACCGATTCAGATGGTCCGCCCCTTAATGGATCCAAATGGTTTCCAGAGAGCGGTAGGGGATGTTTCATCCCATATTGATGACCTTTCAGCTGATTCCTGGTGGCCCGCTGAAATGTGGAGTTAACCAGGGCTATTGACTGTTTGGCTCCGAAGCGCCGTCTCCAATTGCATGGAGCCCGGACAGCCCCGTGGTTTTCCACGGATCGGAGGGCAATGAAACAATCGCTGAGACGGCTAGAGTGCCGGTGGCGGATAACCCATTCTGAATCTGAGTGGACACGGGATAGAGCTCAATTTCGAGCCTACCAAGTGCTGATATTGACGGCAAAGAAGACTTTCTTCACTGCCTCTATTACATCTGTGGAAAACAGCAGCAGGAGACTCTTTCAAGTGGTTCACAATTTAGCAGAACCACCTGCTCCATTAGGGCCCAGTAACCCAGTACAGGCCACATGATCTCTTGCAATGATTTTGCAAAGTTTTTTGCAGACCAAGTCTCTCTAATTCCAGAAGAAGTAGACTCCACCGTGGAAGCAGGGCGTGAGAGTGCTAAAGTCCTGTCTAGTCAAGTTGTGTGGGATCAATTCCAATCTGTTACCCCCGAGGATGTGGACAGGCTGCTTGGACGAGTGAAACCAACCACTTGTCTCCTTGATCCTTGTCCATCCTGGCTTATAAAAGCTGGCCGGGAAGGACTGAGTGATGGGCTTCGTGGGGTGGTGAATGCTTCCCTCCGTGAGGGAGCTTTCCCAGACCCATATTTAGATACGGCCACGATGGCCAAGTATCGCCCAGTCTCAAATCTTCCATTCTTGGGCAAGGTGATTGAGCGAGTGGTTGCTGAACAACTCCAGACTCTTCTTCTGGGGTCTCCTTCCATTTGGGAGGGGAGAGATTTTCTAGGAAAAGGAGATTTCTGAGTCAGTAAAAAGGACTCAGATGATCCCCTGGGTCTGGAATACAAAGGAAAATACCTCGGGAGTGCGACTGCTAAGACAGAGGGGAACCGAGGAAAAGTGGCCCCTCGCTCATGGACCAAAGTATGAAGCCATGAAGGAAGCTGGGCTGTCCTGTCATAACTAAGGAAGGGAATGAGAGAAGCAGCAGAAACAGAGTCCAGCCTTTTAGCATTTATTCTGGATACCTGAAGTGTAACAACTGATTATGAGAGGAGGGAGTTTAAGAGAAGCTGTGTCTGTACAGTGGTACCTCTGGTTAAGTCCTTATTTTCTTCTGGAGGTCTGTTCTTAACTGGAAACTGTTCTTAACCTGAAGCACCACTTTAGCAAATGGGGCCGCCGGAGCATGATTTCTGTCCTCATCCTGAAGCAAAGTTCTTAACCCGAGGTACTATTTCTGGGTTAGCGGAGTCTGTAGCCTGAAGCGTATGTAACCTGAAGCGTTTGTAATGCAAGGTGCCACTGTAGTACCTTGTTTAATCCTGTGACATTTAGCTGAAGTAATAAGTTAACGTCTACTTGACAGAGGCCTTCCAGAATCTGATTCAGAGCCAAATTTGGAGACATATGTCACACAGACAATTTCAGAATGGATGGGAGAAAGTAAAGATTGGTTGGATGGGCTTTCAGAGAGCTGTTTCAGAATTAGATCACGTGAAAATTGAGAACGGAGGCAGCCAGGAGATGTTTGATTAACAGTAGTAACAAAAAGAGTGAAAGACGCAATCCTTCAGAACAGTTTTTGAAAAAAATCATGTGGTTGCCGAACAGAAAGTAGATATCTTTAGAGAGATTCCACTGAAATTGAGACTTAGAAGAACCAAATATAGATATTTAACAATAGCACTCAGAAGAGCTGACCTTAGATATAAATGGGAATTCCCAGAGGGCATTTGCTTTACATACACGAAAAGGAGATACAGGCTAACATCAGAATTTCAGAGAGTCCTTTGACAAATACAGGAGAGACTTAGATTCCAACTGCTGAAAGGCACATACAGTATTCTGTTAGAATGGGAGACGAAAGAGTGTGTTTGTGTGTTTTTACAATCAAGCAATGTATACATTTTATGAAAATTACAATACATCATAACATCATATAACATAAGCAGGAGTTATAAAAAAAATTAATAAAATAGCGCACTGTCTTTCAGGTTGTGTCTTCCTGGAGTTCCACACCTCTGCTGGGTGGAGAGGAAATGGTCTCTCCTCCTTCATCTCAGCTCCACAGCAGTTCTCTCAAAAAGACTTGGCACTCCAGAAGGCGGAACTCAGAGCCCTTTATAACATAAAAACAAGGAACTTATAGTGCTGCGGAAGTAGTAGTAGTAGTAGTATTTATTCAATTTATATACCAACCTTTATCAGAATATCCCAGGGCGGTGTACAACATTAAAAGGACAATACAGAACAACAATGATAAAAACATACTAAAAAGCATCCTGTGAGACAGCCGAGTAATGCAGCACTCCTTCTAAAACTTGAGGGAGACTCACTGCTCACCTGCTTTTACGGCCACTATGGGGCTGTGGTGATTCATCCAAGGGAGGCTCCTCTGCTGGCCCCCCGAAGATTCTGACATCGTCCACTCTTTCTCCTGTCACCCACAGCCATAGAATATGAAGAGAGTGGTCCTCCCAAACTCTGCCTGCCCTCCAACATGTTGCAGAGGGAAATTGGGACCTGCGACTTTTGGGGCCACGCTCCTGAATGAGTCACGTAAATCACGCGAGAGCAAGGACCCCCCAAAATGGGCGACTTTTGGGGCCACAGTTTCACGGGAGCCAAAACAGGACATCCTGGGAGCCAGTCAGAAGTCAGGGTGGCTTCTGGAATTGCAGGACGTCCCACTCAACGCAGGACAGTTGACAGGTATGTGAAGACCGCCAAAGATGGAGAGTCCACAACCCATAGTGCAGGCACCCCCAAACTTGGCCCTCCAGATGTTTTGGGACTACAACTCCCTTCATCCCTAGCTAACAGGACCAGTGGTCAGGAATGATGGGAATTGTAGTCGCAAAACATCTGGAGGGCCGAGTTTGGGGATGCCATAGTCAATATGGCTGCCTTTCCCACTGGCTGAGATGCTTCTGCCCATTTCATCTGCTTAGCCAATCTAGATATTCAGGGCCAACAGGTCCCACCCCTGCCTCCAGCAATCTCTTTTGTTACACTCAATGGGTGTTTGGTGGAGGGCAAGGGGAACCATGGGGCCTCACTTAACTTGCCAAATATTCCAAAAGGGCATCACCCGCCACTATATAAACCCTCTCACCCCGGTAGCAGCAATGAGGTGGTACAGCGTTCAGGTGATAAGAGTGTGTCCCTGCTTTGGGAGGGGGAACACAGCCCCCCAGCAAAGTTTGGAGGATGAGCCAGAGGTATAGCCGGACATTGGAAGGCAAACTGTTGCAGGAATTTATGTATAATTGGGGGGGGGGGGTTGCCCCTGCAGCAGATATCATGCACATGCAGCCCACCCCCAAAATCAGCACCATCACTTTTGTGACGTTTGTGACTTGTCCCCACAAAACACTTCATCACAGTTTCTTCCTATCTGCTCAAAGGGCCTCTGCTGCACAATACCAAATGTAAGAATTCACTGATAAAGGTATCTGTGTACTGGCTCACTGGGAAAACTTCAGAAATTCATATAGACATGTGAGCTCAGCTACTCAGCAGCCCCTCTGCCTGAGTGATAATCCCTGACATCCTGATACCTGAGTGCTGGACAGGTTGCCATTCCCAAAATAACAAACCCAGACGAAGACAAAGGGTGTGATTGACTTCGCTGGGAAACAGGGAAATGTAAATATCTATTTTGTTACACTCCATGTGTGTTTGGTGGAGGGCAAGGAGAACCATGGGGCAGGGTCCAGGATGCTCAGATTACTGCCACCAGACTTCCCCTTAACATGATGTATGAGTGATGTAGTTTGGGGGGTGTAACATGGGGATTAGCAGCTAATAAAAGTTTGGGTTCTCTTTTGTTTGGGGCTTCCATCTTGTTCCACCTGGTGTCAGGTGGGAGTCCTGCCATGACAGTCTTCAAGAGAGACCAAGCCAACTGGCAGCTGTTTTGCTCTGCTATTCCTGGCTGGTGTCCTTGGTTTTTGTCCAAGGGAACCCTCAGATTTCTCCATTAACAAAACGTAATGTGTAACAAAACAAAATGTGCACTTTCCTGCATTTTGCAGCTCAGCAATGTGTAGTCCCAGGAGAAGCAGGAACAGCGTGTCTTCCTGTTCCTCCCTCAGCTGAGATCTGCCTGGATGGAGACCTGAGAGCCTTCTTCCTTAGAGGTTTTTAAGCAGAGATTGGATCCTTTGGCTGAGATTCCTGCCTTGCAGGGGGGTTTGAATAGATGACCCTTAGGGCGCCCTCCCATTCTAGGATGAGGTTCCTTGCTTCCTGCAACCCCCTTTTCCCTGCAACCTTTTCCTCCAGTTTCTGGCCAAGGGAGGGAGCAGATCACAGACCAACCAAGAGCGTCCCCTCAAAATGAGCATCTCTGGGATTCTGCAATGCAGGAGAGAAAAGGCAGAGAGGAATGAGCAGGGTGGACTCGGCTTTGCAAGGGTTAAAGGAAACTAAGCTGCATTCCTAGAAAGGACAGGAAATAAGGGGGGGCAGGACCTCCAGAGGAAAAACCCTCCCTCCACTTCCTGCAAGGGGGGGGCGGGGTTGCTTTCTGCTATTGCAAAGGCTGCTTTGCTCTCTTCCACGGGGATCTGGTGAGTTTCCTCTCTCCATCCCCCGAGGGTGCAGTGGGGAGAAGGTGGGGGTCCCAGGGAGCAGGGGATCCTGCCAGGGAGGGGCGAGGTCGCAGGAACTGTCTCCTTCCCTTAGATCTTTGTGGGGGGGGGGAAGGGAGGAGGTTCCCGCCCCCCTTCCAGAAGAAAAAATATTCAGAGCCCCCTGGGAAATCTAGCAGATAGAAATCTAGCTTCTGTAAAGAAGCTTATCAGTAGGACTTCTGCTGTGTGTGACACGGGTCAGCGTCATTGCACAACAGAGGAAACATGTCATTGCACAACAGAGGAAACGTGTGAATGGTTGCTCCCAAACCTCTTCGTTCGTTTCCCTCCTTTCTTTCTGCTTCTACCGCCCCCTTATTGGCAGAGGAGGCCAGCCAAGCAGATCAAGCCAAGCTTTATGAGGAGCTGGGTATGTTTAGTTGGAGAGGAGGAGACAGAGAGGAGATAGGAGAGCCATGTCAGATTAGATAATTTATTACGGTCAGAGACCAGCTTATAAAACACACTTGGGAGTACAGTCACAGAAGCAAAACAGGCAATTTATGTACAACAACAAATTAAAAAACAATGTACACCAACAAACTATCCCAGGGAGTTGACTCAGAGTCACCCATGAAACCAAGTTTGGGGATTTTCATGATGGACTATTTTGAGTTGGGAGATGGTCTGCGCCTACAGATCTGTACACAGAATCTGGCGACCATCCAGGTCATCTTCTGATCTTTGCCTAACAGGAAAAGGTCTCATTTTTGCTTTTGCAGGAGGTCAGCGAGCCGCACCAGCAGGGGATCAATGGTCTTACTACGTGTCTCTTCGTAAAAGGGACGTCTAAAGAACAAGTGTTTTGGCTTCCTATCTCTCCCAATGGACAGGTGAAAAGTCTCTGAGCATACGGGACTTTTCTAGAAGCTCCGTCCAGGACCAGCGAGGGAAGAGCCGAGCTTCTGGCGAGTGTAAAGGCCCTTCTTGCATTTCTAGATGCGAGAAAGAAGAGATATTCTGCCGGTGCGGCTATATATTTCTCGATTTCTCCAATTTTATGGTCGGAGCACCTTGCGCAGTCCTGTTGTCTCTCGGTGTCTAATATTCTTTGCCTGACTGTAACTTTGGCCTGGCCCAAGCCCAGACTTAGAAGGGCTTGAGGGGCAAAACCCAGTTTCCGGAGGGTGTTCAGGACTGCAGTCTGCCAGCCCGACTGGAATTGGTCACAGAGGATCAATGGGGCTATCCCTCTGGGGATCAGATACAATGTCAGCCATTTGTAGATTGATGTTAGGCAGATGCTAGCCTCCACTCTCATCATCCCCGTTTCTAATCTAACCCATGCGTTTGAGACACATCTGGGCACTTGGAGGAGAGCTCTAAGAAGTCTAGATTGAACTCTCTCAAGGGGGGAGAAAGCCGAGGAACGCGGGCGCAAAAAGGAACCATAAAGGAGTTGTGCCAAAGTTTTGGCCTTGTATAGTTTTAGAGCTGCGGGAACGAAGAAGCCCCCTTGTGCTCTGAAAAATTTAAGGATACAATTTGCGGGTTTTTCCGCTGAACTCCCGATGGAGTTTATGTGTAGTTTGTTGGCTCCTGAGGCCTATACCACCATTCCTAGATACGTATAGTTTGTGACTTGTTCTAATTTATGGCCTTGGAGTTCCCAGCTTTTAAGCTTTGGTTTTTCCCCAAAGCGAGTATCTTGGTCTTTTGATAGTTGATTTTGAGACATTCAAATTCACAGTATGCTGCGAGCTTTCTTAGTGCTCTTTTGAGTCCAATGGGGGTTCTAGATAAAATTACTGCATCATCGGCATATAGCAGGACCGAAATATGCCGATTTGTGAGCTTCGGAGGGTGGAGTTCGGAGTCATGGAGTGCAGATACTAAATTATTTAGATAGAAATTGAATAGTAGAGGGGCCAATAGGCACCCTTGCCTGACTCCTTTAGAGGTTTTAATAGGGTCCGTTAGGTGTCCTAGGCGGCTACACCTGACTCTAAGAGCCGTGTTTGCGTGCAGTGCCTGAATTAAGAGCAGAAGCTCATAATTCTATGTAGGTACCCTGTAGTCTGTCCCAGAGTCTGGTTCTGGAGACTGTATCAAAGGCTGCTTTTAGATCAACAAAGGCAGTGTACAGTGAGGCCGGCCTTTAGGAGAGCCATGTCACCTGGGCGCAGGATTCCAACCAATGGCTTCAAGCTACAAGAAAGGAGATTCGGACTCAACACACCTAGTCATTTTTCACTAGGAACCAATGACTCCCTTGTCAATCAGTTCTGACTTCATGCATTGACTGGAAGGAAGGAGCAACCAGGCTGATTCGCCTCAAATTAATCTCTTCGCTTGCCTCCACATTTCCACAATCTCCCTTCTAGAGGCCTACATCATCTCCTCCTCCTCCTCCTCCTCCTTTTTAGAAAGATAGCTCAGAGTCTGGGCTGTGGTGCAATCCTACCCTGGTTCCCTCCAAGACTCATCCATGCTTGCTCAGGGAACCTTTTTCTTCTCCTGATACTGTACAACTTTTGTAACAGAACAATGTATTTGCTTTGTAGGATTTGCGAGAGCTTCTCATTCAGACAGACAGAACTTGGCAGAAGACCAAAAGGTTCCTTCCAATCTCTTAGAGGCTTCCTGAGAGCACAGATGGATGAGCAAGACTCAGCTGGCCCTAGAGCAGGAAGAGGCCATGCAATCCAAACTGGGAGCAGTGGGGGATTCTGGGAAAACCCTGTGCAGAAGATCCTGGGTGAGGAGGACACCCTCCACTCAGAGGTGCAGAGCCAGCAGTTAAGGCAGTTCTGCTTCCAGGAGGCCAAAGGACCCCGAGAGGTTTGCAGCCAACTCTACCACCTTGATCATCAGTGGCTGAAGCCCGAAAGGCACACGAAAGCTGAGATGCTGGACCTGGTGATCTTGGAGCAGTTCCTGGCTGTCCTTCCACCGGAGATGGAGAGCTGGGTGAGGGACTGTGGAGCAGAGACCAGTTCCCAGGCAGTGGCCCTGGCCGAAGGTTTCCTCCTGAGTCAGGCAGAGGAGAGGAAGCAGGCAGAGAGAAAGCAGGTGAGAGAGACCTTCCTCTGGATACTCCCAAGGGGCTCCAAACAGGATGGAGAACATCCAAAAATGGTCTGCTGATGGCCCATCCTTTTTCGGGGAATGAGGTCTAACACCCTTAAAGTATCTGTATGTGTTGTTCTCTTTCTAATATTTCTCACCTTTCATTTACTGTTTTGAATTCGTATTGTTCTTTCAGAAAAGGGATCATTTTGCAGAAATGGACCTGGATTCCTGTGAGGCAGAGAGGCCTCCGTTGGACACCAGAGAGAGGCCACTGGGTAAGGAGGAAGGTGGTTTTTCTTTGTTTGGTCTCATTCTGTTGGTTTTCAAACTCGTCTGAGGGTTCTTTTCATCTTGGTTTTTTTTTGTTTTTTTTTTGAGGGGTGGGGGTTGGGAACAAGGGTTCAGAGGAGGGGAGACGTATTTCTGCACACCTAACATGAAATGGGCACAAACCTTCAACTGCACTCAGCAGGTAAGGCTTTCTCAAATCCCATCTGTAGTTAGAGATGTCCTGTTTCCCCTGTGAGAGAAGCAGGCCCTCCTGGCATCCTGCTTACCTTTTTTTCTTTTGCAGGTGAAAGAATGAAGCCAGCAAGACCTCCTGATCCATCTTTTCATGGGGGCAGAAGGGAAGCAGTGGCTGTGGAACCAGATCAGGTATGGGGAAGCTATCCTGTGTGGACAGAGGCCGAGGGATGGAGCAATGTCATGGACTGGTTGGGCACAAAGGAATGGTGGGAGGAAGCAGCCAGGGAACCAGGAAGGGAAGACATCTCAGAGCCCAATGAGTGGAGGTGGAACAAGGATGAGTGGTCAGAGGGGGGAGCCTGGGAAGAGGAGGTGTCAGAAGCTGAAGGGGTAACACGGCTTAGTGAGCTGGGAGACTCTGTGGCAGAATGCAGTGCAGAATCAGAGGCAGAAGAGGAAGGAGGCGAGTGGGAGAGGAAGATCGAGAGGCAGAGGTGAGTCAGGAGAAGGGGGAGCCACCGGGGGCTCCCTCTCCTTCTGCCAGAATCCACCCTCCCTGCTTGCCTCTCAGAGCCAAGAGAGGTCTAACATGGAGGAGTAAAGGCAGGCTGCACACTGGCGCACTGTTCAATCGCTTGCCAGAAACCCCAGAGAGGAGGGGACTTGGAAAGCTGTGGGGAGCCGGGGGCCTTCACTCTCAGCAACTGCTTTTGTGGAGGAAGACGCTCAGGGAATGAGCTGCTGTTCTCATGAGGCCTGAAACTCAGCCAAGTCTGTGAATATCATGTTCTTGCTAATAAAGAGTAAACTCCAGCTGTGTACTGTGGGATTTCCCTCCCATATAACTCTGTGACTCCAGCCTTCTGAATGTTTCCAGTAGGATTCATCTGTAGTTGCAGTTTCCATGGAATCCTAGAGTTGAAAGGGACCCCAAGGGTCATCAAGTCCAACCCCCTGCATTGCAGGAGTCTCAGCTAGATCATCCAAGACAGATGGCCATCCAGACTAGGCTTCTTTTATTTCTATATTCATCCCTGAATGCTAAAATAGGCTTCTAAGCAGTGGACAGACGAGAACAAATAGTGGCCAAGATTCACCTAGCCAGCCCTATCCGCTGCAAAATGGGGCCTGCCCCCCATTCCTCCCCCTCTCCATGCCCCCATGAACCCCTTGAATTTGGCTCTAGGGCACTGGGAGGGAACCTTCCCAGAACAACTCACGAGGAGAGGAGAAAGTGGATCCTTCCATCGGGGAAACTGGGATGCTTGCGTAGGCAGAATAGCGTGGAAAACATGAGCTGGAGTTCCACCTATTTGCACAAAGATGAATACCCATAGTTAAAATACAGAATAAAAGAATTCAATTAAAGCGTTAAAATAGGTACCCATAATTAAAATGTGCAGCAAAGCAATCCTATTGAAATAACACAGCATAATAAGAGGAATAACAAGAAGGAAAGAACAGAGCATTGTGTAGCAGATCATATTTCTGTTGTCTCAGAGGAGGAAATTTCCCTTTTTTCTTTTAGGGTCCAGTGTGCTTTGAAGATGTCGCTCTTCATTTCACGGACGAGGAGTGGGCGTTGTTGGATCCTGACCAGAGAGCTCTGCATAAGGACGTAATGGAGGAGAATTGGGGAATCGTGGCCTCTCTTGGTAAGCCTCCGTGTGGGATCGTCCTATCTGCCAGGAAATTCAAGAAATACCTCTATGTGACCAACCTCATATATTTTCACAGCACCCCCTATAACACCTGGGAACCTAACACCCCCACAAGAAAAAGTAAATTACAGTTTTTTACGTCATCAATCTTCCTCCATTTCTGCCTCCTTCTACCACAGTTGGGCTGGTCTGAACTGCCCAGGCATCTTAAATGTCAGCTTCAGAGTTGTTGGGAAAGATAAGTAGCTTCTGTCAGGATTTCTGTTTTTGTTTTTGCTGCTGTCAGTCTTGGGTTGACCAAAGAGAGAAATGACACTGGAGATGGAGGGGATGCCTGTTGGGATACTGCCAGGGAGAAAGTCCATCATGGCCCCCCACGTCATCTCCGGACGTCCATTGATCTCCCGTAGACACGCAGTATCAGCAATTAGCGACACGAGCTTCCAGAAATAGCTTGCCACATTCCAGAGCTCATGCACGCTCTATCAGCAGATAATGCACAGCGAAAGATGCACGCAGGAGAGCATTATTAACAAGTTTATTCAGCGTTGAGCAGAACAAAGAAAACATGACTGCCAGCTTCAGTGTCTCTGGCACAGAGAGAAACGAAAGCATAGACACAACATAAACTTCCTGTGAACAGGAAATACGCAGACTCTGTGACTCACAAAGCCTGCTCCCTTTTAAGGTGGAACGGAAATATCCTAACATCCTCCCCATTTCCGTGTAACCTGTAGTACCTGTGGTTCAACCCAATTGCAACTTATGTACATAAACCTTAAGTTGTTCTCTGTTTACAACCTTAGACAACAGATCAGCAGGAATTTCATTTCCTGCCATGTAGGACACCTGAATGAGTCCTTTCTGAATACACTCTCTTACACGATGTAGCTTAATCTGCAAGTACTTGGTTCTTTGCTTGCAACTCTCTGAGTTCAGCAAAGCCAAACAGGATCTATTGTCTTGATACACTTGTATAGGACATTTCACAAAAACTCTGATGTCCTTAAACAGTTGCATCAACCATTCACAATCCATGAGTGAAAATGACAGAGCATTGAGTTCTGCTTCACAGGAACTTAGAATCATAGAATCATAGAATCATAGAGTTGGAAGAGACCACAAGGGCCATCGAGTCCAACCCCCTGCCAAGCAGGAAACACCATCAGAGCACTCCTGACGTATGGTTGTCAAGCCTCTGCTTAAAGACCTCCAAAGAAGGAGACTCCACCACACTCCTTGGCAGCAAATTCCACTGTCGAACAGCTCTTACTGTCAGGAAGTTCTTCCTAATGTTTAGGTGGAATCTTCTTTCTTGTAGTTTGGATCCATTGCTCCGTGTCCGCTTCTCTGGAGCAGCAGAAAACAACCTTTCTTCCTCCTCTATGTGACATCCTTTTATGATCCTTAGGCTCACTGTCCTTAGGCTCACTGTCGTCTGCTTCTTGCACAGCCAGTCAAACAGACAGTGGTTGTACATGTAGCATACTCCAGAAGTGCTTGTACCATCTGTGGTGTCACTTCCAAAACTTGCATCTGCAAAGATTTCAAGACCTCCAGTCTTCTGACTGGTGAACCTCAGCCTGTAGTGCAAAGTCCCTTTCAAATAGCGGGCTATGCGCTTCAGAGCTTTCCAATCCTGAACAGTTGGATTGTTGGCATGTCTGCTAAGCAGGTTACAGCTTACAGCTATGTCAGGTCTTGAGCATCTAGCAATGAAATTCAACTTGCCTAGAATGCATCTGTACAGCGTTGTGTCAGAAAATGCTTCAGCAGTACTATCTACCTGGTAACCTGTCACCATCGGTGTGTCTGCTGGGTTTGCATCAACCAAATTCAACCTGGTTAATACATCAGCAATTTTCTGTGTTTGGTGTACCAGAAAATTACCTGCTTGGTCCCTCTCCACCTGCAGAGAAAGATAGTTGGATACCTCACCAAGATCCTTCATGTCAAAGTGCTCCTTCAGCTGAGCTAGGGTGCTTTGGTACAAAGCCTGATTCTTCCAAAACATCAGAAGATCATCAACAAAACATAAACAATACAGTTTGTTTTGCCCCTCCTCCTTGACAAACACACATGGATCAGCTTTGCCCTGGTGAAAACCTAGAGAAAGCAATGTCTCAGTGAGCTTTGTGTTCCAACACCTGGCACTCTGCTTGAGACCATATAAGGATTTCCGCAGTTTACAGACCATTCCCTTCTGTATCTGCATTCCATCAGGTGGAAGCATATACGGCTCCTCCCCCAAAATCCCGTACAAAAAAATCTGTATTAATGTCATGATGGGAAACATGCAGTTTCTCCTCTGCAGCAATCTTGAGCATCAGCCGAATGCTCTCATACTTGATGGTGGGTGAGTAGGTCTCGTGGTAATCCTGTCCAGGTACCTGTGAAAAACCTCTGGCAACCAATCTGGCTTTGTGTCTGACAACCTTGCCATTCCGGTCTGTCTTGGCCTTGAAGACCCATTTGCTGCCAACCAGTCTCATTCCTGGGACTACTGGTACCAGCTTCCAAGTTTGGTTCCTATTCAAGGAATCAACTTCAGCCTTCATGGCATTAAGCCAAGGCTCAGCATCTTTAGAGGTTAACTCCTGAACCTCTTTGAAGCTTGAAGGTTCCCATACCTTCTCTGAGCTACTAAGAACAGCAGTTGCCGTCTTAGCAAACTCATCAGCAAATCTCTTTGGAGGTCTGCCTTTGGTCGCCCTTTCAGATCTGCGTACTAGACGCAAGTCTTCTGGACTCATCTCCTCCTTCTTAGGAGAAAAGTGACCAATGGTGAACAGTGGTTCTTCCAGTTCATTGTCAGACGCATCAGATGGTCTGACTGAGGCCTTTGCGCTCTTGTAGTCTGCTGTGTCATCACTGTCGCTGACATCAGCAGCAGTGCCGCCCACTGAACTGGAATCCGAACTCTGATCATCATCAGCTTCCTCAGCTTCCTCAACATTATCTGCTTTTTTCACATCATCTTCATCTTCCTCTGGATAACTCTGGAAAATTCCCACATTTCCCCCCCACTTAGGATTGTACTCAACACTCTTTGTGAACTTAATGGACTTAGAGTCAGTCATCCATACCCTGTAGGCACCTTTTTCGTACCCCATGAACAAACCATGTGCCCCACGCTTCCCAAGCTTGTTGCTCTGTGGGGTGTGTACCCACATGTCAGAACCAAAGATTCTCATGTGCTTGACGTTGGGTTTCTTACCAAACATCTTCTCATAGGGGGTACAACCAATAGGTGATGACAGTCTCCTGTTAAAAATGTAAACAAAAGTCGACAGAGCCTCCCCCCAATACTTATCAGGGAGATTGGCATTATGCAACAAGGTTTTTAGGCCTTGAAGCAACGTTTGATTTGCTCGCTCCGCAAGTCCATTCATCCATGGCGATCAAGGCGTTGACAAGTCATGCTGGATTCCCTTCTCAGTCAGGAAAGCTTCAAACTGCTGAGAAGTGAACTCCCCGCCCCGATCAGTAAAGAGACAGCCGATACGTTTACTGTGAACATTCTCCAACCAAGCACAGAATGCCTTGAACTTAGGAAACGCTTGCTACTTCTGCTCAAGCATAAACACATGAATGTACCTGGAAAAAGAATCAATTAGAACCATGAAGTACCTTGCTCCACCCAAAGAGGGCGCAGGTGGACCAACCAGGTCTGCGTGGAGTAGCTGGTAGGGTTTGGAAGCCTGCCTGCTAGACTCCTTGCCTTTTGGAGCAACCTTCACCTTGTTCTCTGCACAAGATACACATTTCATGTGAAACTTACAGGGTTTGATGTTCAAACCCTCAACCAATCCTGGCATCTTGGCCAGCGCCTGCCAAGACATGTGACAAAATCTTCGATGTGCATCATGAATGCATCCTGCACGAAGAACTTTGTTAGTTTGTGCAACACAACAAGAATCAACATTAGACACAACAGCGCCATTGTCATCATAAGTTATACAGAACAAACCATCTATAAACTTTGCATGCAAAATGTCCTCTTTGCCTTTCCTGATGACACAGACGCTCCTCTTGAAGGAAATCTCAAAACCACGCCCAGTCAGCTGTGGGACACTGAGCAAATTGTCTGCAGCACCTGGAACATAAAGTACACCTTTGATGGTTGTGTGCAGACTTGCCAGTCTCACAGTCCCTTCTCCTGCGATTCGCAACGTCTTTCCGTCTGCCAGGTGGATCTCACCATCTTGACGTTTGAAGGAGATAAAGATATGCCGGTCTTTTGCCAAATGGCAGGTGCATCCAGAATCTACAATAAATCTGGTCTTGGCCTTTGGAGCAGTTTTTCTGGCAAGCAAAACCTGGTTTTCCACCGGCATGGGCTTTTGCTGCTTGCCCCCCTGCTCCTGGCCATCAAACTTGCCTTTAGCCTTTGGTGAATCTGTGCCAGCAAACAAAGCCTTGTTTTCCACTGGCATGGGCTCTTCACCCCCCTTCTGCTTCGGGCCATCTGCAGGCAACTGTCTCTGTTTACTTCCTGCCTTCTGGTATCTGTGAGGATGACCTTGGCTCCCATGAGAAACAGAGCTCTCAGCTGCCGATTCCTTGGCTCCCCCTGGAGGCTGGAATGCTGCCTGGGATGACATCACAGTCAGCTCCCCCTGCAGCTTGCAACCAGTGCCCTCGGCATCCCTGCATTCACTCGCATTCTGGGAAACAGCCAGGATCTCCGATGCAGTCAAACTCTGGGCTGGGATGATTGGCAGATGGGCTACTTTCAAAGCATTCCGCATCTTACGTGCAGTGGTGTTGCCAGCCAACGTGGCAATTTCCTCCAGAGAAACGGACAAGACTATTACGTCTATGGCCTTTGAATTTTGGGCCCTCCATCTATCTTTCAGAGGAACTGGAGGGGCTTCAGACACAGTATGCCACACTCCAAACTGACGCAGCAAACTTTCACACCATTTTGCCCAGGTCTCATAATTGTGCCGATTTAACTTTGGGCACTCAGCAGCTTCAGAAGCTTGTAAAAACTCCATTTCAGCTATTCACTTGAGCCGTGAGTCTTTTTCACTTCAGAGACTCCTTATCTTGGCACCCATAAATCACGAAGCCTGCTTGGCTCGGCTCCAAGGCCAATTAGGCCAGCCGGACATCAAAGAGACTCTGCCGCGGCAAACAGAAAAGCCTGATTTGCTTTCGCTTTTCCCACACATACCTTCACAGTCTCTTTCGCAGTCTTACTCTCCTGTAAGTGCCGTGAATCTGGGCCCGAAACCTTTTGTTGGGATACTGCCAGGGAGACAAAGTCCATCATGGCCCCCACGTCATCTCCGGACGTCCATCGATCTCCCGTAGACACGCAGTATCAGCAATTAGCGACATGAGCTTCCAAAAATAGCTTGCCACATTCCAGAGCTCATGCACGTTCTATCTGCAGATAATGCACAGCGAAAGATGCACGCAGGAGAGCATTATTAACAAGTTTATTCAGCGTTGGTCAGAACAAAGAAAACATGACTGCCAGCTTCAGTGTCTCAGCACAGAGAGAGAACGAAAGCATGGACACAACATAAACTTCCTGTGAACAGGAAATACGCAGACTCTGTGACTCACAAAGCCTGCTCCCTTTTAAGGTGGAACGGAAATATCCTAACATCGCCATGCCTGGGCCAAACAACATCTGCCCCAGAGAAGAGCCAGGCTGATTGAATCTCAGGTAGTACTAGCAGTGAGAATAATAGCAAGAATAATAATTTTTATTTATACCCTGACCATCTGGTTGGGTTGCGCCAGCCAATCTGTGAAGCTTCCAGCACATATACAGTGGTACCTCTGGTTGCGAATGGGATCCGTTCCGGAGGTCCGGCCAGATAATGAGGTTTTCGCAACCCAAGGATCACTGCGCATGGATTTGCTGCTTTCATAAGCTGATATTTACGTAACCAGAGCATTACGTAACCCGAGGTGCTACTGTATAAACATGAAACAGTAATAATAACAACAATCTAATCCAATGAAAAAAATACAAAAATTTTACAAAAAGTACAAAAATTTTAAAATGTGTAACTTATTTCAAACAAAGCAACATTCAACCAACGATTAGAATCCAATAATAAATACATTGGTTTATTACAAATAACAAAGGTAATGAACACTGCCTTCTCTACAACAAATTTAATGAGCATTATTCCCTAACTGGGGGCTCCATTTGTTCCTGAGGCTCTAATCCCTTTTTCTCTCCATTGCAGATTGTGATGAATTGGAAATCAAGAACAAAGGTGACCACAACACAATCTGCAGAGTGGAGAAGGCACGTAAAAATTTGGAATGTGGAAAGAGCTGCAGTCAGAGCTCCCATTCCAGTTCCCATCAACGAAATCTCATTGGAAAGAAACCCTATCGGTGCGTGGATTGTGGAAAGAGCTTCAGTCAGAGCTCCGATCTCACTTCCCATCAAAGAATTCATACAGGGGAGAAACCCTATCAGTGCATTGAATGTGGAAAGAGCTTCAGTAGCAGCTCCGATCTCACTAAACATCAAAGAATTCATAAAGGGGAGAAACCCTATCAGTGCATTGAATGTGGAAAGAGCTTCAGTAGCAGCTCCGATCTCACTAAACATCAAAGAATTCATAAAGGGGAGAAACCCTATCAGTGTGTGGAATGTGGAAAGAGCTTCAGTCAGAGCTCCAATCTCACTTCCCATCAAAGAATTCATACAGGGGAGAAACCCTATCAGTGTGTGGAATGTGGAAAGAGCTTCAGTCACAGCCACAGTCTCACTTCCCATCAAAGAATTCATACAGGGGAGAAACCCTATCAGTGTGTGGAATGTGGAAAGAGCTTCAGTCAGAGCTCCCATCTCACTTCCCATCAAAGAATTCATACAGGGGAGAAACCCTATCAGTGTGTGGAATGTGGAAAGAGCTTCAGCATGAGCACAGATCTCACTAGGCATCAGAGAATTCATACAGGGGAGAAACCCTATCAGTGCATGGAATGTGGAAAGGACTTCAGTAGAATCTCTGATTTCACTTCTCATCAAAGAATTCATACAGGGGTGAAACCCTATCAGTGTGTGGAATGTGGAAAGAGCTTCAGTAGAAGCTCTGATCTCACTAAACATCAAAGAATTCATACAGGGGAGAAACCCTATCAGTGTGTGGAATGTGGAAAAAGCTTCAACTACAGCTCCTCTCTCACTTCCCATCAAAGAATTCACACAGGGGAGAAACCCTATCAGTGCATTGAATGTGGAAAGAGCTTCAGTAGCAGCTTCGATCTCCCTAAACATCAAAGAATTCATACAGGGGAGAAACCCTATCAGTGCATGGAATGTGGGAAGATCTTCAGTCAGAGCTCCAATCTCACTTCCCATCAAAGAATTCATACAGGGGAGAAACCTTATCAGTGTGCGGAATGTGGAAAGAGCTTCAATCAGAGGTCCTCTCTCACTTCCCATCAAAGAATTCATACAGGGGAGAAACCCTATCAGTGCGTGGAATGTGGAAAATGTTTCAGCCAGAGAGTCCATCTGAATATCCATCAAAGAATTCATACAGGGGAGAATCACGAAATTGTAGAATTTTCGAGCTTACAGTGATCCCTGGTGCAATCTATTCCACCCATGTGATGCAGGAATAGCAAGTAAAGTATCCATGACACATGACCATCCAACTGCATTTGAAAACCTCAAAGAATGGAAATTCCAGCCATCCCAAGGGAGTCCAATCCACTAACAGCTCTTGCTGTCAAAAAGTTATTCTGCATGTTTAGTCAGTCTTTTTTTAAAAAAAATAAAACTTGAAGGCATTGGTTTGTGTCCTACCCTGTGGAGCAGGCGTCCTATTGGGAAGACCCAGTTCTCTGAGTGCATGTTCTGGAAGTTGGGCAATAGGGGCATGTAATGGTTCTAGGGGTTGCTCGTGCGTAAGCCGATACAAACACCTGGCTGGATTGCCTGAGTGAACCTTTTCTGTCCGGACAGCCACTCACCCGTGGCTGTCTCAATCGCTGGCAGAATCCGTCAGTGGGCGTTTCTTAAACTTCTTCCAGCAAAGAAGCTCTTTGACGCCTAGTCTCCTCCTACTCTCTCTGCGCGGAAGCCTTCTGCGCAAGGAGGGCGTAGGTAGCGGAGGAACTCTACTCTCCCTGCTGGTCCCCGGCAAGGAGTCATGGGACCTCCTCGCCACTTCCCCCATCTGCCCCCCTTCTCCACTGGTGCTATGCTGATTCTCTTCCCCAGAAGATGGGCTGCCTCTCCCAATCCCGGGACGCTCTCTGGAATCCCTCTGGATTTTGCTCTCTCCCTCCGGCACTGATGGCAGTTCCCTGACATCCACCTCCTCCACAGGACCCCCACCCCTGGCTCGATTTTCCAGTACAACCTCCTCTCTCTCCTCGGTCGACAATGCGGGAATCCCCTGAAGGAACTGTCATCATCTTCTGAGGATTCAAAACCAGCCTCCCATCCGCTCGGACTTCTCCGCGCTGGTTGAACCTCCCAGTCTGATCCTTCTCCCTCGGACACCTCCCCTCCCTCCTCTTCGGAGTCAGGGAAACCCACAAAGTCCCCTTCATCGTCTGTGGGTCCAAATTCTTCCTCCCAGAATCTAGCTAATGGTTTGGGCTTCTCCGGGAACAAACCGTGGAATTCTTCCACCAGATACCCGTCAGTGAACGATTCAGCCGGGACCCAAGTGTTTTCCGACCTGGCTACCAGGCTACCAAGTACTCTACCTGGCGACCTCGCCACCTTGAATCGAGTATTTCCATGGCTTCGTTACAGTGTTCCCTCTCCTCTACCCGCGGGTGGGTGGTAACCCCTCCCTCCCGTCCTGGGAATTCCCGCCCCTCCCTGTAAGGTGAAAGTAGGGACCTATGTAACACCGGATGTATCTTCATGCTGTCAGGCAACTTGAGTTTAAATGCCACGGGGTTAACCTGCTGTATTACCTCAAACGGCCCCAGCCGCCTAGGCTGCAACTTATTGCACCCTCCCTTTAGGGGCAACCCTTGGGACGACAACCACACCCTGTCCCCCACCCTGATGGCCTCCCCTCCCGACGGTGCCTGTCTGCCTGCCTCTTGTAGACTTCCTTGGCCCGCTCCAAGTTCAGCCTGAGTTGCTGGTGTAAGGCCTCCATTTCCTCCACAAATTGCTCAGCCACAGGTACACTCCATCCTTCCTCCCCCCGCCCCGGGAAGGCCCTAGGGTGACACCCGTAATTGGCCATGAAAGGGCTCATTCCCGTGGACACGTGTTCAGCGTTATTGTACGCAAATTCAGCCAAAGCTAATTTCTCTACCCAATCGTTCTGCCTCTCGCTGACATAGCAGCGTAGATACTGCTGGAGTATGCCGTTCGCTCTCTCGGCTTGTCCATTGATTTCTGGATGCCTCGCCGTCGAGAAGCTCACCTCGACCTGTAGCAAGCTCATGAGTCTCCGCCAGAACCGGGAAGTAAATTGTTTCCCGCGATCTGAGATTACCCTCAATGGAGTCCCATGCAGTCTAAAAATGTGATCCACAAACAGCTTGGCTGTCTCCTCTGCCGTTGCTGCATGTGAGCAAGCTACGAAATGGCACATTTTGGTCAGTAGATCGACCACTACCATGACCGCTGTCTTTCCCCTTGATTTGGGCAGATCTGTCATAAAATCGATGGACACCACCTCCCAGGGCCTTTCCGGTGTGGGTAAGGGTTCCAGTAACCCCGCGGAGGCAGCCCTTTCCCCTTAGCCCTCTTGCTTCGGTCGCACCCTCGTACATATTCTCTTACGTCTTCCCTCACCTTTGGCCACCAGAACTGCCTGGTGACAAGTAGCATGGTCTTGTGCTGTCCAAAGTGCCCAGCTGTTGGGTTGTCGTGGCGTTGTTTAAGTACCTTCCCCTCACAGTCTCCCCCGGTACATACAGCGCCCCCTTATAGTACAACAGCCCTTCCTTTTCCTCGAACCCTCCATTGACTTCCTTTCCGTCCCTGAGTTCCCTGATTTTTGTCTGAGCAAACTCATCGTCTCTGGTGAGCCCTGCCAGTTCTCGTTTCCCAACCAACGCTCCCCCCCCCCCACACCGGTCCTCGGGGAACACGTGCCTGGTCTCTGGTGGCCCCTCTCCTTCCATGTACTCCGGTTTCCGGAGAGATCATCTGCCCTTACGTTTTCCTCTCCCGGCACGTATCGGATCTCGAAGGAAAACTTGGCGGACTCCTGGGACCATCTGATCTGCCCCTATCAACGGATGTCTCCATTGCCGAAATGCCGCATAGATGGCAAGCAGTTCTCGGTCATACACTCTGTAGTTTTGTTCTGACTTGCTCAGCTTCCTCGAGAAAAAGGCACACGGCATCCAGTTCTGCTTGGCCCCGGGCTGCAAAAGGACCGCTCCAATGGCACGGTCGGACGCGTCTGTCTCCAGTCTCATGGGCTTCTCCAGATCCACGTGCAGGAGCTGCTCTTCCGAGGCAAACGCCCTCTTCAGTTTTTCAAAGGATTGCTGCGCTCCCTCTGTCCACGCAAACTTCTTTTTGCTACTAAGACAATCCGTTATGGGTGCTGTCAAGTGAGCGAAGTTCCTTATGAACTTCCTATAGAAGTTGCTGAAGCCTAGGAACCTTTGCACATCCTTTCTGTTTCTGGGGGCTTTCCATTCCAGCACTGCCTTCACCTTGCCCGGATCCATGGCTAGTCCCTTGTCTGACAGCCTGTATCCCAGGAACTCCACCTCCCTGGCGTGGAATTGGCATTTTTCCAGCTTGACCCACAACTGATGCTTCAATCTCTGTAGCACCTCCCTGACGTCTCTGACGTGTTGCTTTTCATTGTCCGAATAGATTAAGACGTCATCCAAAAAGGCTACGCAATTCTTGTACAGCAGGGGCCCCAGCACATGGTGCATGAAGGCTTGAAAGCAGGCGGAGCCCGATTGTAATCCAAAGGGCATAACTAAGTACTCAAAAGCCCCCAGGGGGGTGAACATGGTCGTTTTCCATTCGTCCCCCTCCCTTATCCTAATCAGATTGTATGCTCCCCTGAGGTCCAGCTTGGTGAAAATCTTCCCCTGCCTCACACGTGTCAAAATATCGTCAATCCTGGGCATTGGGAAGGTCATGGGTTCTGACACCAGGTTTAGGGCCCTGTAATCCACGACTAATCTGGGCTGATTAGTCTCTTTTTTGTCCACAAAGAACACTGGACTGCCTCCCACCGCCTTTGATTCCCTTATGAAACCTCTCTTCAGGTTCTTGTCAATAAACTGCTGCAACTCCTGCATCTCCCAGTCGGACATGGCATACAGCTTACCCACCGGTAACTGAGCCCCTGGAAGCAGGTTGATTTGGCAGTCAAATGGCCTGTGGGGGGCAGTCTGTCTGCCTCCCTCTCGCTGAAGACCTCCTTCAAATCAGCATATTGTGTTGGCACCTCCCTCTTTTGCTCCAGGGCCACCCCAGCCACCCTGGCTACAGTCCTTCTTTGTTCCTTCCCTCCCAGACAGTGTTCTAAGCAGTAAGCTGACCCAAAGGTGACCGACCGCTGATGCCATGACACCACTGGGTCATGTATTGCCAGCCAGCTCAGTATTATCGGGGTCCTGCCAGCTTGGCCACGTGAAAGGCAATGGTCTCCGTGTGTCTGGAGACACGCATTCGCATTGGCAGTGTCTGGTGTGTCACTTCCCCTCCCAGGAGTTCCCTGCCATCGATGGTGGTCACCTGCAAAGGAAAATCTAGTGGCAACAGGTGGAGCTGGTGCTCCAGTGCGAAGTCTCTGCTGAAGAAATTACACGAGCTGCCAGAATCTAGCAGCCCCTCCACTTTGACTGAGTGCCCATTTGGGAGTTCTAGTACCACCTCTATGGCTAAAGCTGCCTTGGGGGGGGTCAGGCTGGGGCACTTCTATTGGTTGCTGGCCTGGCTGCTGCCCCTGCAGGTTGGCAGCCAGGCGTTGTCGTTTCCCTGCACCTGCTCTTCCTCCCCCTTATCGTCGTGGCCTGCAGCCCCCATCATGCCTTGCCAGGCTTTTCGTTGAGGGCAGACCTTTGCAAAATGTCCCGGCCTCTGAAAGAGGAAACACTTCTTGGTAGTTTTCCACTCCTTTTTCCGACCTTGCCCAGCATTTGAAACTTCGCGCGCGCGCGCTCCATCAATTTCCATCGGCTCCGCCGCCTGGGAAGGCTCACTCGGCATCTCCGGAATGCGGTTGTCATGGAAACGCTCCGCCCTTATCTCCCGCTTTTCCTGAGCCTACGCTTCCTGGCGTACACCAATCGCAAGCACAACCTTTGTGAGTTCATCCATCGACCGCGGGCGGGGCGCTCGGGACAACTCGTCTTTCACTCCGGGGCCAGACCCGCTTCAAACAACATTTGTACTGGTTCAGAGTCCAGATTCCACCCGAGCTTGTGGACTAGCATCGCAAAACGCGACCAGTAGTTTCTGACGGTCAGGCTACCCTGCTTGCACCCCATCAGCTCCCTCCATGTCACGCTTTGCTCAATCTCACTGGAGAACATCGCGTCCATCGCGAGGTAGAATTTCTTAAGATCTTTCAAAGCGTCATTCCCCGATGCCATCAAGGGCCTGATCCATTCATGCGCCCCATCCTGCAGATGTCCAATAATGTAAGCCACCCTCTCCCCGTCATCCGCAAAGTCATTTTTCTGCAATTCCAGAGCATACTGGATTTCCGTCCGGAAGGCATTGTAGTCTTGGGGCGTTCCCCCAAACTTGTGTACCAGCCCAGGGACCTTCCTCCCTATCGGGGTGGCTCTAACCTGTGCATCCTGAGCCCGTTTCTCCTCTAGCCGCGCAGACAGGGTAGCGACATGCGCCTCCAGGTCTCGGTTCCTCTCGACCAGACCTCGCACCATGGCTTCTTGCTCTGTCCCTCCGGCCGGCTCTGTTTGGCTCATCATGCTGCCTCTCCGGTGCTGCGCACAAGCAACGTCAGGGACTGACGGATTGCTGTAATGGTTCTAGGGGTTGCTCGTGCGTAAGCCGGTGCAAACACCTGGCTGGATTGCCTGAGTGAACCTTTTCTGTCCGGACAGCCACTCACCAGTGGCTGTCTCAATCGCTGGCAGAATCTGTCAGTGGGCATTTCTTAAACTTCTTCCAGCAAAGAAGCTCTTTGACGCCTAATCTCCTCCTACTCTCTCTGCGCGGAAGCCTTCTGCGCAAGGAGGGCATAGGCAGCGGAGGACCTCTAATCTCCTCCTACTCTGCGCGGAAGCCTTCTGCGAAAGGAGGGCGTAGGCAGCGGAGGACCTCTACTCTAACCGCTGGTCCTCGGCAAGGAGTCATGGGACCGCCTCGCCGCTTCCCCCATCTGCCCCCCTTCTCCACTGGTGCTATGCTGATTCTCTTCCCCAGAAGATGGGCTGCCTCTCCCAATCCCGGGACACTCTCCGGAATCCCTCTGGATTTTGCTCTCTCCCTCCAGCACTGATGGCAGTTCCCTGACAGGGCAGTACAGGATTCCTTTTGGTGTACCCACTCTCTCCCCACTGCACCAAGGATTCCCTGCCCGAGCTACTCCAGATCGTGGCGGACGTTCTCCTGGAGACACCTAGTTTGGTTGTCCTAGGGGATTTTAACATCCACACCGACACGACCTTACAAGGGGCCGCTTGGGACTTCATGGAAAGCATGGCCTCCATGGGGCTGTCCCTGAATATGTTTAGCCCAACTCATAGTCACGGACATGCCTTAGACCTGGTGTTCACCTTTATGGATGTTGGTGATCTGACACTAAGTAAAAGCGAAACTAAAGAAGTGCCATGGTCAGATCACTTCCTGGTGCAACTGGACTTTTCCGTGAACCTTCCCCTCTGCAGGGAGGTGGGACCGATTCAGATGGTCCGCCCCTTAATGGATCCAAATGGATTCCAGAGAGTGGTAGGGATGTTTCATCCCATATTGATGGCCTTTCAGCTGATTCCTGGTGGCCCGCTGAAATGTGGAGTTAACCAGGGCTATTGACTGTTTGGCTCCGAAGCGCGCTCTCCGATTGCATGGAGCCCGGACAGCCCCATGGTTTTCCACGGATCAGAGGGCAATGAAACAATCGCTGAGACGGCTAGAGCGCCGGTGGCGGATAACCCATTCTGAATCTGAGCGGACACGGGCTAGAGCTCAATGTCGAGCCTACCAAGTGCTGATAGTGACGGCAAAGAAGACTTTCTTCACTGCCTCTATTACATCTGTGGAAAACAGCAGCAGGAGACACTTTCAGGTGGTTCGCAATTTAGCAGAACCACCTGCTCCATTAGGGCCCAGTAGCCCAGTACAGGCCACATGATCTCCTGCAATGATTTTGCAAAGTTTTTTGCAGACAAAGTCGCTCCAGTGCGAGAAGACGTAGACTCCACCGTGGAAGCAGGGCGCGAGAGTGCTAGAGTCCTGTCTAGTCAAGTTGTGTGAGATCAATTCCAATCTGTAACCCCCGAGGATGTGGACAGGCTGCTTGGACGAGTGAAACCAACCACTTGTCTCCTTGATCCTTGTCCATCCTGGCTTATCAAAGCTGGCCGGGAAGGACTGAGCGATGGGCTTCGTGGGGTGGTGAATGCTTCCCTCCGTGAGGGAGCTTTCCCAGACCCATATTTAGATACGGCCACGATGGCCAAGTATGGCCCAGTCTCAAATCTTCCATTCTTGGGCAAGGTGATTGAGCGAGTGGTTGCTGAACAACTCCAGGCATGCCTGGAGGAAGCGTCTTGAGGGGCTGGAAGCTGGGGGCACTGTCATACAGTGTTTCCGCTCCTTCCCCCTGGGCTTTGTTCAGAAAGTGGGGGGGGGATGAGTGTTCAGAACCCTGGGCTCTCACTTGTGGGGCGCCTCAGGGATCCATCCTCTCCCCCATACTTTTCAACATCTACATGCAGCTGCTGGGAGAGATCATCAGGGGGTTTGGACTTGGTGTTCATCAGTATGCGGATGATACCCAGCTCTACCTCTCTTTCAAATCAGAACCAGTGAAGGCGGTGAAGGTCTTGTGTGAGTGTCTGGAGGTGGTTGGAGGATGGATGGCAGCTAACAGATTGAGGTTGAATCCTGACAAGACAGAAGTACTGTTTTGGGGGACAGGAGGGGGCAGGTATGGAGGACTCCCTGGTCCTGAGTGGGGTAACTGTGCCCCTGAAGGACCAGGTGTGCAGCCTGGGAGTCATTTTGGACTCACAGCTGTCCATGGAGGCACAGGTCAAATCTGTGTCCAGGGCAGCTGTTTCCCAGCTCCATCTGGTACGCAGGCTGAAACCCTATCTGCCTGCGGACTGCCTTGCCAGATTGGTGCATGCTCTGCTCATCTCCCGCTTGGACTGCTGCAATGCACTCTACATGGGGCTACCTCTGAAGTTCTACCCAGACACTGAGGTCCAGCACCGAGGGCCTTCTGGAGGTTACCTCACTGCGAGAAGCTAAGTTACAAGGAACCAGCAAGAGGGCCTTCTCAGTAGTGGCGCCCTCCCTGTGGAATGCCCTCCCACCAGATGTCAAAGAGAACAACAACTACCAGACTTTTAGAAGACATCTGAAGGCAGCCCTGTTTAAGGAAGCTTTTAATTTTTGATGTATTAGTATTTTAATATTTTATTTGAAGCCGCCCAGAGTGGCTGGGGAAGCCCAGCCAGAGGGGCGAGGTATAAATAATAAATATTAATAATAATTATCATTTTATTTTCTTTCTCCTGTAGTAACCTATGTTATCCATCATTTGAGAACCACGATATTGTTCTCCCTTTGCTCTTCTTCCATTTTTATCACAGTCTTTGAACTCTAATACTTTGAAGGAGCGAGGTTTTAATTTTATGAAGTGAGGCACCTTATCCTCTATTAACAGTCATAGCTGAGATAGGAAGACCATGTTGAGGGTCTGGAGAGAGTATTCAGACGGGAGTTAATCTGGAAGGAGAAGCTGTGGGAAGACTCTTCTTCTGGGGTCTCCTTCCATTTGGGAGGGGAGAGATTTTCTAGGAAAAGGAGATTTCTGAGTCAGTAAAAAGGACACAGATGATCCCCTGGGTCTGGCATACAAAGGAAAATACCTCGGGAGTGGGACTGCTAAGAGAGAGGGGAACCGAGAAAAAGTGGCCCCTCGCTCACGGACCAAAGTATGAAGCCATGAAGGAAGCTGGGCTGTCCTGTCATAATTAAGTGAGGGAATGAGAGAGAAGCAGCAGAAACAGAGTTCAGCCTTTTAGCATTTATTCTGGATACCTAAAGTGTAACAACTGATTTTGAGAGGAGGGAGTTTAAGAGAAGCTGTGCCTGTACAGTGGTACCTCGGGTTAAGTACTTAATTTCTTCATGAGGTCTGTTCTTAACCTGAAACTGTTCTTAACCTGAAGCTCCACTTTAGCGAATGGGGCCGCCGGAGCACGATTTCTGTTCTCATCCTGAAGCAAAGTTCTTAACCCGAGGTATTATTTCTGGGGTAGCGGAGTCTGTAGCCTGAAGTGTATGTAACCTGAAGCGTTTGTAACGCAAGGTACCACTGTAGTACCTTGTTTAATCCTGTGACATTTAGCTGAAGTAATAAGTTAACGTCTCCCTGACAGAGGCCTTCCAGAATCTGATTCAGAGCCAAATTTGGAGACATATGTCACACAGACAATTTCAGAATGGATGGGAGAAAGTAAAGATTGGTTGGATGGGCTTTCAGAGAGCTGTTTCGGAATTAGATCGCGTGAAAATTGAGAACGGAGGCAGCCAGGAGATGTTTTATTAACACTAGTAACAAAAAGAGTGAAGGACGCAATCCTTCAGAACAGTTTTTGAAAAAAATCATGTGGTTGCCGGACACAAAGTAGATATCTTTAGAGAGATTCCACTGAAATTGAGACTTAGAAGAACCAAATATAGATATTTAACAATAGCACTCAGAAGAGCTGACCTTAGATATAAATTGGAATTCCCAGAGGGCATTTCCTTTACATACATGAAAAGGAGATACAGGCTAACATCAGAATTTCAGAGAGTCCTTTGACAAATACAGGAGAGACTTAGATTCCAACTGCTGAAAGGCACATACGGTATTCTGTTAGAATGGGAGACGAAAGACGAAGAGGTGAAATCAGTTATGATTAAATGGGCACAAGATACGGGTCATAATATTATTGTGGATGATTGGGAAAGTTATGGAAAACCGATTTAAAATTCACAGAGTGAATTTCACAGAGTGTGAAAGAAAATTATATGAAGATGATGTATAGATGGTATATAACACCAGTGCAGTTAGGAAGAATGAACAAAACCATCTCAAATATGTGTTGGAAGTGGAAAGAAAGAGACAGGACTTTTTACCATATGTGGTAGGGTTGTAATGAAATAAAAAAGTTTTGGGAAATGATATATAATGAGTTGAAGAAAACGTTCCAATTAACATTTGTTTAAAAACCTGAAGCATTCTTGTTAGGGATTGTAGGAAAAGACCTGCCAAGGAAACTGAAAAATATCTTTATGTATGCGACAACGAAGGCAAGTGTCTTAACAGCACAAGGATGGAAGAATGAGGAAATCCCGACTAAAGAACTATGGCAAGAGCAATTGATGGAAATCACAGAATAGGCAAAATTGACACACAAACTACGTGACAAGGATAACTGTGATTTTAAAGATGAATGGGAACGCTTTACAAAGTACTTACAGAAGCAACAAAATGTTTTTTTTAAATGATATTTATTGAAAAAATTTTAAATTACAGAGAAAAAGCAAAGCAGAAAAAGAAAAAAGAAGAAACAAGAAAAAACAAACCACATCAAACAATACAAATTCAAAAAACAAAAATACACTGCAAACAGACAAAAATAACTCCATCATTCTCAAATCCTCAACTCTCATTACCTTCTTTCTTTGACCTCCTCCTCCTCCTCCCTTTTTTTGTATCCTAGTTAATAATTATCGCAGCAAATCCATTCCATATTTCATAATATTCTGTCATTACATTACCTTAATCTATTTTCATCTTATCTTATAGAAAACCTTAAAGACTTAAAACTTAAATCTTATTTTTACCGACTTCTCACAACCATAATATTCTTACCTAATTCTTTAATCCTTTCCATATTTCATAGTATTCTGTCATTACATTACCTTAATCTATTTTCATCTTATCTTATAAAAAACCTTAAAACTTAAAACTTAAATCTTATTTTTACCCACTTCTCATAACCATAATATTCTTGCCTAATTCTTTAAACATTTTTGCTAGAGCCAAGTAGTTTTGTTCCAACATTTTTCTAACATTCATCAATTTTATAAAACAATCCTGGTAATAAAAAAAAAGAAATAAAAATAATTGAGTCTTCCTCCAGCGTCCCTTCCTCCTGGTCCCGGGGTTTGTCAGTCCTTTTTATCCCATCTATCTAGTGCATTAACCTGGTAACCTTATATCCGAGGCCCTTAAATCTCTTCCATGTCCCTTCCGCAGCTCTTCTTCATATTCTCCTTTCACTCGTGGGAACTCCAGCTTGGTGATGTTTTTGACCCTTTTCAACAAATCAGCCCCTTTCCCATAGTCCAGACTCAACTCCCTGTGGTATTTAAAAACATGTTTCAGAATCCCTCCAAAATTGAGAGCCCCCACAGCTCCAAACATCTCACGGCCCATTGCCAGACTCAGAAAGTCCAAACATCCCTGCATAGGGGGGGTCTATCCAACCCCCCATTTCCAAACCAAACCAAACTTTATCTTTCCAAATCTGGCTTTTTCCAAGTTCATTTGTCAAATCCAAAAGCTCATGTTCCTGCAAGGCTGCAGCTCCTTCCATCTCTGGTGCCCAAGATTCAGCAACATCCTCTTCTCTCATCTGCTCTGTCAGGACGCACTCCTGATCTGATTCCTGGGTGGGCTCCACATAGTTTCCCACTGCCTGTTCAAAAATTCTGACCGCATTAGTCATCAAATCCATCTTCTCATTTAACTGTTCCAGTAGGGCACTTGTTTTCCAGAGAGCACACAACAGAGCCTCTGAATACATTGTCCTACAAGGCCACAATTCAATGATCAAAGGATAGTAAATAAGGCTATAGAAACAATTGAAGAATACTTTAGGTGGAATTTAAATGGAGAAACTTCCATAGAGATGGTGTGGGACGCAGGAAAAGCGGTCATGAGGGGTTTTTTGATTCAGAAAAATACCCAATTAAGAAAAGAAAAAGAAAAAAGAAAGAGCAGATTTTAACACAGATTATGGAAAACGAAAGAAAATTAACTGTTAACCCTAGTGAAGAGAGTATAAAACAGAACTTAAAAATACTACAAGCTAAATTTGCTACAATAATTAACCAAGAGATAGAGTGGAAAATTAAAAGGATGAATCAAAAGAACTTTGAGTCCGCAAATAAGATAGGGAAATATCTAGCGTGGCAGTTGAGAGAAAGGAAGAAGTTGAATACGATCAGTAAAATAAAAGAAGGAGATATGATTATGGAAGAACCAAAAGAAATAAAAAGAATATTCCAAAGATATTATAAGGATTTGTACAAAAGAGGAGAGGAAACAGAACAAGAAATAGATCAATTTCTGCAAAAACACCATCTGGAACAAATGGTAGAAGATGAAATAGCAGCACTAGATGAGATAATAACACAGGAAGAGATAAAAAAGGCTATTAAAAAGATGAAAGCTGAGAAGGCGCCGGGACCGGACGGCCTTCCGGCCAAATATTATAAAACATTAATTAATCAAATATCACCAGTGCTGGGAGAGGTTATGAACA